GGAAGAAAATAACAAATTTTAATCTCAAAATCTCTGCTTTTTAAAAAAAAAACAAAAAAACTTTAACATGAATCGTCACTAATTTATACATGTTGTTTGTTCACTCATGCCCCCAATTCAGAAAAAAAGTACCCAGTTCACTCATAGATATATATATATATATATATATATATATATATATATATATATATATATATATATATATATATATATATATCTTATCTAATACCGGTATTTTGCTGAGCCACAATCACTTTTACTGAATTTCTGAGGTAATGTTAGTTAAATGGTGTCAAATACTAGAGACAAACCTGGGCAGATCGTTTTTGCTAGGCTAGAGTTGTCATGCGTTTGTGATTCGAATGATGGGTTTAATCTTTGCACAGTAATTTTCAGTCAGACGCAGCTCACCATCGCCTTTTTTGAGTCAACGAAGCCTTGCTGTACCGCTGAATAGATTTGGTTGACGAAAATCCTCGTTTTCTCCGCATTTCATTCTTTTCGAAACATCCGCTTTGTTTACATTGCCAAAAAGTGAAATAAGTCGTAAAATTACCTCGACTTGTTCTTAGTTTGAATCCAATGAAATTTTAGTCACATTTTATATGATTTTATATCAAGTATATCTTTAAAATAAGTTGCATTGTAAATTTTATTTCCAACTCTACTAAAGAGATGAACGACATAAGATTCATTTACGTCATTCGGAGTTGCGTGGTGGATTCAAAATCGTCAGTACCATACGTCCTTAAACAACGTATGATTAATGCTCATTCTGGAAACAATCACTTATTCTCACGTAAGCACACGAATACAGGAGCAGTGGTTAGCGACATTAAAAAATCATGAGTCATGAATTTTATAATCCACGAAAATTTTGATCATCGAAAATTTTCAGGTTAAGAAAAAGAAAGAAAATGAATTCCTTAAGAAAATAATTTATTCTGTGGTCGGTGTGATTGCGCTTATGTGCAATTGTTACGGAAGCGTATTAGGGCCGCAGCAGTATCTTTTATTAATTCATTTTAACAAATTACTAATTTGTTAAAACAAATTATCAATTTGTTATATCAGATTAGGCCCTAATACGCTTCCGTAGATTGTTGACGACTTTATTTGTTTATGAGTGGATTTTTCATTGGCTCATTAAATTTAATACAAATTTGTTTGTTTGTTTGTTTAATGCCCTTTCATATTGACAGCTCGTCGCAAAACGTGGGTTTTGCAGAAGCAGAGAGTCTCTTACTCTTTCCCCTAGTTAAGCAAAAGTGAAATTCGCCTGCTGATCGATTGCAGAGAACGTGACGTTAGAGTTGACATTCTTTAACTTAAGAGTTTCATTCAAAGGAAATATTCCTCCCCTTCAATACGCATCACGAACACTTTTTAGCTCACCTGAGCTGAAACCTCAAGTGAGCTTTTCTGATCAAAATTTGTCTGTAGTCCGTCTAGCTGTCTAGCTGTTCGTCCGTCAGTAAATTTTTCACATTTTCGAATTCTTCTCCAAAACCACTGGGCCAATTTCAACCAAACTTGCCACAAAGCATCCTTGGGTAAAGGGAATTCAAGTTTGTTCAAATGAAGGGTCACACTCTCTTTCACGGGGAGATAATTAAGAAATGAAAAGATGGTGGCATGTTTTAAAAATCTTCTTCTCAAGAACCAATGGGTCAGGAAAGATGAACTAATGTGGAAGCATCCTCAGATAGTGTAGATTTAAGTTTATTGAAATCATGACCCCCGGGGATAGGGTGGGGCCACAATGAACGATCAAAGTTTTACATAGGAATATATAGGAAAAAATCTTCATCTGTAGAACAACAAAGCCATGATTGGTCATATTTATATGGAAGCATTCTCAGGTTCTGAAGATTCAAGTTTGTTGAAATCATGACCCCCGGGGGTAGGGTGGGGCCACAATGGATGACCAAGTTTTACATAGGAGTATAAAGGAAAAATCTTTAAAATCTTCTTCTGAAAAACAACAAAACAATCATTGGTCATATCTATATGGAAGCATCCTCAGGTAGTGTAGATTCAAATTTGTTCAAATCATGACCCCCGGGGTAGGGTGGGGTCAAAATGAAAGTTTAAACTTATAGGGAAAAAAGCCACAGTAAGTCAAAGAAATATGTAAGCACTCTTAGAGTAGATTCAAGTTAATTCAGATCATACCCCTACACACTTTTAGGGTAGGTCGGGGCCACTTATTTCAATACTGGATTGATTTTTGCTTTTTTCCTAGCCACTGTGCTCAGGTGAGCGATGTGGCCCATGGACCTCTTGTTTTGTTCCATTTAACCAGTCACGACTACGTCTTGTTTGCGCAAAAAATATTGAAGTTAGCATTTCTACTGATGAATTAATTATGTCGTATTTACTATATTTTTTTAGTTATTGGATATCTTGTTTCTTGTGCGCTCATTATACTGATTCTCATTAAGATTGTTTAGTTTAATTTCGGTACGCTGAAAATAATTCTGCATCGGTGAAAAAAAATATCTAGGCATGTCTCAAACGAAAGCTGTTCTAAATTATCACATAAATAATGGGTGTGTACCTTTTTTTTTTTTTTAATAGTTTCACGTTTCTGTGAATCAAGTTTAGTCACTGGAAATATGAGAACCTTTCAATGTAAGATAAGATCTGCTTCTTTTATAGAGCTTTGGATTTTTTAAAGTGATATCCATAATTTTGGATATCCTCACCTAAAAGAAAGATTGGTGTACGTTTTAAAAAAAATTAATCAAAAAATTTCTCATTTATCATGTTTATGAAGCATTCACAGAGGTTTTTATTTATATATCACAAGCTTGTTGGAAATCAAATATTTCAGGAATCTAGAGGAAACAAACTGGTTCTGACACTGCATGTCACATGTATCAGTATGTCTGTCCAGCTGTCCGTATTTCTGTCGTAAAATCGCTAAATACTATCATTCCACAGGCACCTGGCGTTACTTATTTTTTTCTTTTAATTAAAAAAAAAAAACCCTACCTAATTATTCACATTAATAGGTAGGGGGTATATTTTTTTTATTGAAAGAAAAATAAGTAATGTCAGGTGCCATGCGTCATTCCCTTAAATATTGCTAAATCACCTGACTGAACTGATTTATTTTATTTAAGGACACGTTGTAAAAGCCAAAAAGTGGAGAAAAGGATATAATAATTGGGAAAGGTAGAGACAATTGTCTTGTTTAAAACAATCTAGTGTATCTTATTTTTGACTTTGTATATTTCATTACCAAATTACCTTGACCTTGGGGCATACCGGGCAGAAACATCGCTCTTAACGAGGTTCGCTCCTGAGCTTTTGAGCAGATTTTTATCTTAACCTATATTTCAAAAATTCTGCATAATGTTTTAATTCTTACGATAAATTTCGATTCTACAATGCCAATTCAACTATCTTCAGTTAAAACTATGTGATTAAATTCCATACCAAAAGCGTTAAGTGGGGAACTATATTTTGTGGCGGAAGGATTTTAAGAAGAAAATGATCATTTTTTTCTCTTTATAAGTATTTAAAGTATTCAAGTTTGGATTCCTATTTTTACATGCAGTCTGCACACAGAGTTATTTTGTGCAGTGAACTGTTTTATACTGGTCCTAAATTATATATTGAATAAACTGTCATGAATTCTATCATCATATTGGACAAATATAGCAAATATATTGTGAAAATCAAGAAAAAAATAGCCCTAATTTATGCTTAAAATTGGCACTATTTTAGTAATATCTAAAAATTAACATCACTGACCCCCACTTTTAATTTTCTTTTTTGAATATATAAGATACTTTAAACCATTCTTCTTAATCTCAGTAAAATGTCATTACTTTCAAATGATTTTTTTTGCTTGTTAAATTTTTAATGTCAGAAAAACGAATTTTTTGAGTGCAAAAAGGTCAAAAAATTGAACATGCGGAGTAATTTGAAAATTTTTTTCGTTGTCAAAAATTTTAATGTGTCTATTCAAGATGAAATAAGACTGTGTTTGTTCCCCTAATTTATTTGAATAAAAAATATTGGAGGAAAAACTTTAAAAATTGATTTATGTGTAAGACGTTTTTACAGTGCAAAAAGGTCAAACTAAATGATCTGTAGCACCAAAAGAAGCGCATTGACCCCCATTTTTTGTTTTGATTTTTAATTAAGCTATGTGTTTAAATTCTAAAAATATACTTGATAAAAAATTCTCATTACTTTTGATGGCAGGATCCAACCTCCTTAAGTTTAAATCCGTTCAGAATATTAAGCATTTCGTAGTCAAAACCCCGGACGACTTTAAGTACGTATAGACACCGCAATTCACGACTCAAAATTAGTATGAAGGACAGTCAGAATTTTTTTTTTGCCCCCCCCTCCCCCAATATTCGTAACGATAAAAGCATAGTAATATACAACGTTTTATATTCAAACTAGTATACAATTAAGCTCCAAGTCTTTGCAGTATGATTAAAGAAAAATCAACATATAAAATTTTTTTTTTATAATTTATTGACCAATTCGAGTTCAAATGACTTTCAAATTCTTCAAAACGAATAAAAGGTTCTTTGTTGTAATTTTAATTACAGATCTGTTTTAAAAACAAAAAAAGCTAAAAAACAAAAATACATGACACTTAACATACGTTTAAAGTGATCATTTCCTGTAATAAAACAGAGAGGTCTTGGTTAATATTATATTGATGCATTAAAGGGATATTTTTTTTCACGATCGATAAAAGATAACGATTCAAAAGAGAAAATGATCTCATTTTCCCTTTTTGTAATAATACCTTCCATGCTTAAAGAATACTCAATATTTTGGGGAGGAAAAAATCGACAAAATCATTAAATGACGCATATTATCCATTATGCATGACATCCATTGTGCATTCTTCCTGCCCAGGTATGCAAGTTTTTACCTGGTCAGGTTATTTCCATTGTTAAATCTTCCTCCTTTCAATATTCACCAGATATATGGAGTTTAAAATAGAAAATAAATTTAAATATATAGGACTTATCTGACAAAGCCGGTCGATTCAGGGTCTAGCGCTCAAACCATTGACCCATGATCGAACTACCGGGTGTATAGGAGAAAAATGACCAGCAATTACACGTTTAAACTTCTTACGGTGTGTGTACATGACAGTTCTGAGTTCACTGTGTTTAGTGTTTATTCCTATGTGTATCTGTTATGTGAAGGATATGATCACCTGCTAGTCACGACAAACTAATTCTGGAAGTAGGAAAATCGATCAATTCTTCTGGAATGGATAATTAGAAAGTGGAACCGGACCATGTCGAAATCCCGACTTATGGGGGTGCTGAGCGCCTCTACAATGGTCTATATACTGGCCACGTTATCTATACTCGTCCTGCTTAGCACTATATACGCTAACACACATTTAAATTCCTTACTTGACGTGTCCAGACGGTTACATATATTTGTATCCACGTACATTGGAGAAAATAATAGGGACGTGTCAACAATTTCTATAAACAACTCTCACGTGGACGTAATCAGCTTTCAGACAAGCACAGTACGTATTCTACAATCGACCCGAAACAGTGTAACAAACCACAAAACAACGGAAATCCGACAAATAAAGTTAACAAGTAAAGGCCCACCGCGCAGTACAGCTAGACCTAGTGAATGTAAGGCCTGTTTTGAACACAGGTTTGACTTTATTCTCAACAATGTGGATATTTGTCAGTCTGGCAATTCCTCCATTAAAGTAATTGTATTGATTGCTACGGTCCATGTAAACACAGAGAAGAGAAAGGCCATTCGAGAAACATGGCTCAGTCAATTCCGGGAAAACACCGGACAGGTGCGCTATGCATTCTTACTCGGAATGACTTCTGATAAAACTCTCCAAGTTGCCTTGGAAACGGAGAGCGCCACCTATCGGGACATCATACAGGAAGACTTTGTAGATAGTTACAATAACCTGACTCTTAAAACGATGATGGCTTTTCGATGGGCCACCACATCTTGCCAAAAAGCCGAGTTTATAATGAAAACTGACGATGATATGTTCGTAAATCTCAACTCATTGATGGTTGTTGTGGATAAACATAAGAATATACTTCAGCGTTCTGTAGGAGGGTATTGTGTTCAGTCAGCAAACCCTGTTAGGGACAAAGGGTCAAAGTGGTACGTCTCCTTAGCAATGTATCCCCACGCCAAATACCATGGTTACTGTTCTGGTACGGGCTACGTCACGAGCATGGCGGTAGCCAAAAAAGTGTTCGACATCTCTAAGCATATACCATTCTTTCATCTTGAGGATATCTATGTTGGACTGTGTTTAAATAAACTGGGGTTTTCTTTTACACGAATACCCGGATTTAACCCCCATTTTATACCTATATCCTGTGCTTATAAAGGCCCAGGTATTATAACATCCCACCAAGTGAGTCCACAGCAATTGAGACATGTATGGAATCTCAAATGCTAAAGTGATATTTCTAGAACAGTTCCTAAAAGTGTCTCGTTGAAAGTTTGCTTTTAATGTTAAATATTATTCAAAGTAGCGGAAAAATCAAAATTTTCCATTTATTGTAGTAATTATGAGAAATACAGTACTGTTTCAATTATACTGAGTATTAAAAATGTTATGATTTTGTTAATTGAACTATTTTAATGAACTTCTGAGGAGGTCAGAGATTTGCAATTCAAGTCCGGATTCAGGCTCCCGGCGAGCTCTCCCTCTATTTGAGATCTGGTTCGTCCTCCCCTTGTCCTGCTGGGGACCTCCGCTGTACCCAGACCCCTCGCCATCTACCCCCCCCCCCCCCCCCCCCCGCTCTAACGTAAAAATCCTGGATCCGCGCCTGCAATTGGATGCAGTTATAGATGTTGTCTCAAAGTTGCATATTTGATGAATTATTAAGCAGTTGGCAGCATTTAGGGAGAAAATTATTCCATTATGGATGTTTTTAAATATATTATCTGACGTCTTGGCGTCAGACAGTACTGAATTTAGTCATTGGATAAGTCGTTCAATAGCATTTTTCTGATACAATGTAACTCGATCTTGGAAACTTCATACTATCCTATAGCTGAATACGACTCGTAAATTGGCATATACGTCATATATAATTTTACTATCTCCTATATTAGCACTGGGGTATATAAACCCTTTGCATGCGTTACACCGCATTGCTTTTACGTGGTACATGTATATCTTACATTGTCCTTTTTGTTTACGTTTTATTGCATTGAACGTGCATTTGTGCTTATTTCACTTTGTATCATTGAGTGCAATTGATATGGAATATAGTTGGTAACTTTTTTTTGGCATACGCAAACAGAAGATATTTTTGTCGCGCCCTAGTATATCACAATGACAACGAAGGAGAAATCCTTTCATTAAGTAAAACACATTGAACTCTGAACAAAACTGAGACATAAATAGTGACTGGAGAAGGACAGTCTTGAGAAGACTAATATGGCGGACAAAGATAATTCTCCGGGGCTCCTTTTATGAATCGTGTTCAGCTTTTACTTTCAATTGTAGAGCATGGAGATTAATGGAAACGGCTTAATGTCTAATCAAGAGCAGAGCATTAGATTTTAACTGATATCATTATTGTGAAAAATCCGATTTGCATAACAGGTTACACATTTAGCCACTCTCAAAAGAATAGAGATGGTCAGGTCAACATGTATCAAATATCCTTATCATATTAACTCTGGATTTTTATTTATTTTCAATACATACTGAGCCTTTCTGACTTCAGAATTTCAGTCTACATATATTAATTAATTGCGGACATTTTTAATTCAAGAAAATATAGACGTGAAACGTTGCTGAACATTCTTTTGTTAAAGTGCAAAGATGTTAGCTCAAATGGAAGAAATTAACTTTTTCAATATTTGATAATTATCCAAACGTTTTACACATTTATGTGTAGATATTAATTTGTCATAACATTTTTAAATCCTTGCTTAAAAAAGAAGTCATGTATAGAATAAATTCAAGTCCGTGTCCCATTTTCTGTTGATGATACTTCATGGATTTATTTACAAAAGGACCAATATTTCTGGACCCTGATTAATGTTCATTACTCTGAATTTAAGCTTTCTTGATTTTAAGCGCAATAATTCATTTGACTCAGTCAGACTTTTTTTTTTTTTGGAAAACCAATACTTGTGTAGAACTTTGTCCAGGTTCTATAATTATAGAAAATGATCAATTTATCGCTTTTTAGTTTCAAGCTCTATTTGTGCTTGTAGTAGCCTATTTATAAAACATTTATAAGACATATATTGCTTAAAAATGCAAAATATAAATGACCAAAGGGTGACTTTGGTGGGTAAAAATTTTTAATCTCAAAATATATAACCAACATATAATATCCTCCGTCATTTTCTCAGCTGAGGTCAGTGATTTCACACCGTCCACTGTTGAAATGATAGACGTTCTTATACCCACACTTGGCCCAGTGGTTCTGGGAGGGATAAGGGGGGCTCCCACAATTCTGTCCATGTATGTTCCCCTCCCACTGGCCGTTGACTACGGCTTTGAATTCAAACCAACCATTTTCTGTCTGAGAGCAGTCCATCTGTACGTCAATTAACCAATAATGCATGCCGTACCTAAGCAATGTAAGGAAAAAATTAACCAATAGTGCATGCCGTACCTAATCATTGCAAGAAAAAATATAACCAATAGTGCTTGTCGTAGCTGGTCAATACGTACGTGAGTTTATTCATCATGTAAGTGTATAACTATAAAGGTTTGCATCTCAAAGAAAATGCATGAAAAAGGTTCCTTAGAACTGTTAGCGTAAAGTTAAGAAGTCCGTCACGTCATGTGTGTGCGAATGGATACATTTGCCGGATGTCACGTGGAATCCACGGTGATCGTCTAAAGCCGATCATAACAAACAAAACGCCCAAGTGGTATAATAATAATCAGAGTCATACTTATCTTCCTTACAAATAAATGTATATTAGATATATGACACCCTCATTGCGGCCATAAAACCCGTGGTTTTATAGCATATTGACTAAGTCTTTATATCTTATACAAAGTAACGCCTTGTTGTTCCTGCGGGAATCTATTTCTTTCAAAATGTTAACCCTTACTGAGGCCCCACCCACAAAGAAGGAATAAGATTTGTACAACTTGAAGGTACAAAAGGATGCTTGCAAACTAATGCTAAAGACTGAAGTTTTTCCTGTTTTTTTCCTTTATGGCCCAGTGCATTTTCAAATGACGCACCACCGAATTTTTACATGACATTGTATTGCTGAATTATTTATCCATGATAAAGAATGTGGTCCTTAAGTTAAAAGCTATACAAGATACAAGATTTATTAGTCCAATTTGGGCCCCCGGAGGAGCAAAAAAGATTTACAAACATGAAACAAAGAATTAAGGAGGAAGATCCAAATGATAGAATAAACATGATTTTAAATATAATGAGCAGTGCTTGATTGTATAATCATTGATAAATGCATCTACAAGAGATACATATTGTAATATAATAATAATATATAGTCAAGTAACTGGAAAGATACATACAGGCTGTATATTCATATCAAAGAACAGAAGAGATGATATATTGCCATTCCTACATGTATATACATCCCCAAATATATTTAAATTTTTCAGTTAAGGTAGATTATCAAGGAATCTAGCAAGAGATCTTAGGATCTCAGGGTCTTCATTAGTCATGAGCCAAAGAAATTGATTATCATATGATAGGGACTGAAAATTTTTACATTTATTATTACAAATATTTATGAGTTCAAGTCTTTGTACACTAAAATGAGGACATACAAGGAGAAAATGAATTTCATCCTGAATCTCCTTGTGATCACAAAGGGAACAAAATCGTTCATCTTTAGGTATTTTTTGATATCGGCCAATTTCAATTTTAAGCCTGTGAGCTGATATTCGTAACTTTGTTATGACTGATCTATGTTGTTTGTTTGTTAAAATATCTAGATAGGGTTCAAAACAAAATTTAATCTTTAGGCATGTGAAGGTAGATAATTTACCATCTTTATGCAAATTCCTGTCTTTTTCCCATGTAATTTTATAGAAGTTAAGTAATATTCTTTTCAAGTTTATTTTAAACCGTGGGAGTGACATACCTAAAACATCACTAAGTTTAATATCAATATGGTTAAGTAAGAAGTTAATGCAAGAATACCATGAAGTAACTCCATTTTGGTGTAGTGTTTTGGAACATTTATAAGCCTCACTAAGTAAGGGAAATTCCCCATCTAGATTCTCTAATCTATGCCAATATAACAACATATTTTTAATGACATCAAAGTGTACATTCAATCGTCCTACCTCAGATCTTACAGCAAAGTTGCTGCTTTTACTATGAACCACTAATAAATGTTTGTAAAATTTAAGATGCAAACTTTCGCCTTCTAAACTTTGGTATATTTTATCTAATGTTATATTTGGATTTCTCTTAAATTTGGAAGTTGATGGGTAAAAAAAAACCCATAACTCTGAACCGTACAGAGTAATGGGTTTAATAGTGTGGTCAAACACATTTAAAGCAGTTTTAACTGAAGGATTAAATGAGAGAAAGTCTTTTTGAAGTTTGAAATAGGCTTTTTTTGCTTTATTACAACAATCATTTTTAGCGCTAGTTAGTGTTCCAGATGCATTAACTGTCAGACCCAAATACTTGTACTGTTTAACACATTCGATATTGTTGTTATTCAGATGGAAGGGGATTTTGATGTGCTTGCCAGATGAATTGAAGACTATAATTTTTGTTTTCTGTGTATTAACTTTGAGACACCAGTCCTTGCAGTATGTATTTAGTATATTGAGTTTTTCTTGTAGACCTTCAGCGGTGGGGGAGAGAAGCACCATGTCATCAGCATACATGAGACAATGAATAGATGTAGATGAATCATTGTTTAATTTTACAAAACTTTCAGAATTTGATAGATAATTAGGTAGATCATTAAGGTAAATCTTGAATAAGTTTGGACTCAAGTTATCGCCTTGTCTAACCCCATTGTATGTGTGAAAGTGACCAATTAATTTGTTACCCAGTTTAATAGACGAATAGCTTTTAGAATACATTTCCTTAACAACTGAGTAAAATTTTGTGCTGATACCTGCTTTTAATAGTTTAAGTTTCAAACCAGCATGGTTTATACTATCAAAGGCCTTATGAAAGTCAACAAAGCAAGCATATAGTTTCCCTTGTTTTGATTTGCAATATTTTTCAATAAGTGTTTTCAAAACAAAAACATGATCTGAAGTTCTAGCTTGTTTTGTAAATCCTATCTGACATGGATTGATTTTTTTATTACATTGTAAAAATTTTATCTAGTCTTGAGTTAAGAATATAATTAAAAAGCTTGCCAATTGTGCTGGTAATTGTGATTCCTCTATAATTGTTGGGATCATTAGTGTTGTTAGATTTGTATACTGGAGTGATGTATCCTTCACACCATGAAGAAGGATAATAGCCAAGAGATAAGCAAGCATTAAAGATTTTCAGTAAGACTGGTATAAGAAACATTTGACCATGTTTCAACATTTCATTACAAATTCTGTCAGGCCCAGCTGCCTTACCATTTTTTAGTTTGCTGATTGCTTTATTTATTTCATTCCAAGATATTTTGTAGTCAAGTTCATTAAAAATGGGTGTTGATGTTTCCTCAGTTTGTTTTAGTTGGTCTTTGAGAAACTGATCTTGATCATAAAAATCCTCATGAGTTTTATTCAATTTTTTGAAGTGGTTTATCCAATCATTATTAGAGATTGATGTATCAATTGTGCCTTTGTTTCCATTTCTTAATTCCCCTATAAGTTTCCAATATTTTTTTGGATCAGTTGAACCTAAAGTACACATGTATTTAGCTTGTTAATAATATTACAATGGTATGTTCTAAATTTTTGTTTTCGTAGTTTGTTATAAATTCTATACGCTCTATAATATTGATTCTTAACATAAATATTTCTAGGATTGTGGCCATATAGAGTTCACTTCCTTACTAGTTTTGAACGCATATGTATCAACTCATTATCAAACCATTTATTTTTATGTTTAGCAGGGCTTTTATTACTTTTACATGTTTTATTTTTAGGTAAATTTGGTTTTAATGACATAATGGCTGCAGCTTCCAGGGAATCTTTTAAACTTTTTACACTTGATTCTATAGACTCTATGTCATTGATGCTCATGGAGTTATCAAAATTGTCTTTTATTTTTTGGGACTGTAATGCTTCTATAAATTTCATAGCAGAGTCTTCTCCCCATTTAAAGGATGAATGGGTCTTGCATTGATTATTATCTATACTATTTTCTCTATTAGTAGAACCATATTGAGAAAAAATATTCCATGACAACATACAGTGGCAGTCAGATAATGTGGAAATAAAATCTGATACTTCAAAAAACAAAATATGTTGTACAGTTTCTTCATCAGTTAAAAGATAATCAACAACACTACTACCATGATAATTATGGCAAGTGAAATTTCCAAAGATGTCACCAAAACATCTTCCATTCATAATACGGAGTTGGTTTGCAATACAAAAATCTACTAGTTCTTTTCCTCTTTTATCCATGCAAGTCTCCCTATTAACTCTGTTGGAAATATCATTATCAATTTTATATGTTTCAAATAAAGGTAAATATTGAATGTTATCATCAAATATATAGTCAACTGCGCTTCCTGTTCTAGCATTAAAATCTCCACAAAGCATTATATTTCCTAAATCTTTAAAATGAAAAATATCTTTCTGTACAAGCTCCAAAATATTAATATTATTTTTTGTAATTGCAGGTGATCCTTCAGGGGGATTGTATACAGTACATATATACAAATCTCTATCAAAATTGAAAAAAAGTTTTCTCTAATTTGATCCACTGGTATTCACTACATGTATTTTTTACTATAGAGACATGATCTTTAATCTCATGCTTAATTAATATTGATATTCCTCCATAGTATCTGCCATTATTAGATCTACTTCTACATATTGTATGGCAGTAAAAATCATCATGTATAACAATTGTATCAGGTCCAATGTGTGTTTCCACAAGAAATACTAAATCTTTATCCATAATTCTTGATAGAAAAAGCTCATCATCCATTTTGTTCATACCTTTTGATATCAATCCTCCAATATTCCAAAAAGCACATTTAACATTTGTCTTGCTGTACATCTGATACATTCTAAATAAAAACTACCAAATTTCCAAACCCAAATCAAGAGAAAAGGTACAACATCCTTCAATACATATAAAACATTATATATTCTAGCAACATTATGTGAGAAAAAAAAAGGGAGTTGAAAATAAACATGATGGTCATGAGTACAGGTGCACCAAGTGTATTACTTTAATTCATATACTGGAGTAGAACACATAGCATTGTTTATATATATCATCTGTGTAACTGATAGGTAAAACCTAAAAAGATGATAGAAAAAAGTTAGTAATTATAGTTAAAGCCATAGCTGGCAGGTTGGTAAGATCTCCTTTCCCATGGTCCAGATGGTGCGTACTGGTAGTTTCGCGATCTCCGATGGTACGTGTACATCTTCTTTGGTGAAGCACAGCGAGAGCCTTGGTCTTTTTCCATCTGAATTGGAGACTGCTCAATTCCTAATGCTGGAAGGGTTGATCTTCTTATGTTGGAGGCTAACATGGCAACACTATCTTGTGTAAGATAGACATTGTCTCTTTCTAGGACTTTGGCATGCCTAGTAGACATGTTTGTTATCACTAATATACACAAATGATTCATCTTTGTATTTTTTCTTTAGAAGGGCATTGATCAGAGCACTATTTGCACTGTGTAATTCGTCATCTTTACGAGGAGTACATAGCGACAGAACCACTTTGGCTGACCATTTTTGAGTGATGGTGCTGACAATTTCTTCTGTCTCGTTAACACAAATCTCAGGACTTTTTGTCTTTACATCATTAGTGAGGTGATGAAGAACGACAACATCTGGTACTGCTTCCTCATATCTTAATATGGTATCCCTAGTTTCTTCAGTTGTATAAGCAAGTTTTTTTGTCGTTTTAAATGATGAACTAAGAATGTCTGGATTAATCTTCTTCGTGTTAGAAGTCCCCACCAACAGGACTTTGGGTTTAGGGGGTTTTGCCTTAGGAGAAGTTTGATTTCCCTTATGAAGCTCATATGGGAAGAGTGATTTTCTTCAATTTTCCTATCTCCTACCTGTGTAAACTTCTCATTGTTGGATTCCATACTGGAAATATGCATCTTCAAACCTAGAATCTCCTTAAAAAGTGCCTCATTTTTTTCTTTGAGATGTGTGTTTTCATTTTCCATGTTAAGTAACTCCTCATTTTTGCTTTTCAGTTTTTCCACTAATGTAGAGCTTTCTGACTTGTTTGCTTCTAGCATGTCAAGGAGTTGGTGTTTGCATGTATTATGCATGATTTTTTCATTTTTAAGTTGTGGCTCCTTGTTTTCTAATTCAAGTTGTTGATTTGCAACTTTTATTTGAAGGTCATTCCTGATTTCATCTGACTTCTTAAGCTTATTTTTTATTGAGTTTATTTCATTTTCAGGGTTTTTCGATTTACTCGGTGTTGTTGACATTTTACTGTTCTGGCTGTTCAAGTTTTCAACGGCTGAAGTAAGAGTACTAACTGTAGTTTGAAGCGATTCCAGGTCTTTTAAGAGTCTTGTTTCTAACGTTTTCACAAGTCCAGAGTGTGATTTGCTTAATTCCTCTAAAGCCAGGACCATACTTTCTTGAAATCTCTCAAAGTCATGCATTGAGGCTGATACAATTTGCCTTTGTTCACTGTTTAGCAATTGTTCTTGGTTCGAGTAACTGACAGAGTTTGGGCCTTGTAGATTTTCAATTACAGATTTTTGAACGGTTTCTTCTTTTTCGATTGACTCACTATAAAACCCCTTTACATATTAAAGGGTACTCTAAGTAAAATAAGCCTGCGGTACTGTAGAAAATTAAAAAAAAAAAAGAAAAGTTGATAGAAAACACGGGATACTTCACAGATTGATACTTAAGACTCATTTTGATAAAAAAACAAAACAAAACAAAAACTCACTCGAGCCTCTGGTTCATGTGAACTAAGAACCCTCATCTTTGCTGATATGAAAGTTAAGTGTTCTAATGCACCTCTTTTGCTACTCTAACTGTTTTGAAATCGTGAAATTAAAATTGATCTGACAATATTTTAAAGTTCTTAAACACGGCACAGCTAATTCTAGAAATGTTGTATATAGCAGTTCTTCCAGTTTTCTTCTTCGACTTATAAATGAAATCCCTCAATCAGACTTGCTTGTCTGATATGCCCCGTACAGTTAAAAACAGAACTTACGTATTGAGTGGACTATACCCCGACTGCCCTTTCACGTTAGTTGTCCAGGAAGCTGGGGTTCCGGAAGGAGATTTGCCATGGTAACTATGTTGACCAGCCTCCATTCCATACCAGTCAAGATGACGATCACCAGTGCTCCACGTGTTGTAGGGGGCATAGTGTGCAGAGCTTCCCAAATTGTTAGTCCTTATCGCTATTGCGCACGCGCTGGTCGCAGCATCATTCGTGCATCCTTTTGAAACAAAATCACTAATTTATAAAAAGCTTTTAAAATTTCATATACATTTTCTTTATGTTATGACATAACCATGCTTTCCGTGATATGAATAAAAGAAGTATAGATCAGAAATATCTGTGATAAGCAACTTCTTTATTGTAAGCTGAATGTGGCTCTAGTAAGGTTTTATACCTTGTCTATGACTATGATCGATCCCTCCTCGAATAAACAGATCCTGTCCCGGATTCGTCTCTTTCTCAATCATGATAACAGTACGCGCCCATCCTTGTGGGGCGGGACCAACAGATGGCGCTGATGTAGCGGGTGCTGATGACACATGGTGACCGCCTGTTCCGCTAGATCCGCCTCCTAATGTACCTGTTGGACCACTCGGACCACCTATTTCAGAACAACATTAACTAATTTTTTTTTTTATAAATTTATTAGTTATTTCACAATTATTTATTTTCATTATGTTATAGCATGTTCATTTTGATTCCTTTGGGGATTTTGGGACCTTTTGAGTATTACATGATTCGTGTAAAATTGAGATCATAAAAAATTATTAAATAAAAATAACTCACCAACAATGAAGGCTATGATTGGTTCTGCACTGTTGTCAATCACGATGTGGGCGTTACCACTACCATCTACTGTGATCTTCTTCTGGCAGTCTGAAACAAGTTCACAATATTCTCCGGCTGGTAGTCCCGTCTGTAAAGTTCTGTCCATGTGTCCACTTTTAGCCATGGCAAAGAAACCTTTCTGTCCACGAGCAAACGACACTTCCTCATTTTGATTCCTCCAGTGACTGACACCGGTTCCTGCCACGGCGTTTCTGAAGGCCGCCATGTTGGCTATTGGATTCCACCTGTGTTCACATACCCATCCATTTCCACAGGAACCATCAGCATTAATGGTAACGTCTTTTGCTGAGTAGTCAGCATTATGGGGAGGACCCTCGTCCGAGCCATGGAAATAATAACTGCTCATGACGCGGGTAAATCCATAGTTGTATGCTAGGGTGAAAGCAACCGCCATTTTATAGTCACGTGGTGATTTATGAGTAATGAGATTCCCGCCCCCTCCGTGTCCTCTTTGGTTGTCATGGTTATCGACAAACACAAAGGCGTGAGCACTGTCAGTCATTCCCCATCCGGGATCATAGACTCCGTGAAGCATTCCGAAATTACGTATCCCCTCTGCGATCTTCTGACAATATCTGAATTCCGTTACGTATCCCAGTGCTGTGTATTCTCCGACTTTTATTGCTCCATCATTTTGATCAATGACTTCGTGATAGAAAAACGGTCTGCCTCCCTCTGGAAGGTCCTTAGTTCTGTCTTGAATGGCTTTGATATCCCCAGGCCACATGTGCTTTGCAGCATCTATCCTAAATCCAGCCACCCCTAGGTCGATACAGTGGTTGTAAAACTCCGCTATTTTGTTCCTTACATATTCTTGACTTTGATCCAAGTCCGTGAGTCCCACAAGGAAGCAGTTCCTGACGTTGTTAGGGTCCCCGTAATTGTTAACATTACCGTCGTGTGAGGGACACTTGTCCCTGGAATTGAAATGTTCCCTTCTGAACGGTACCCCCGGGAAATCGTAATTGTCAGAGTTGAAAGAGGTGCCTCCTGATCCAGTTCCCGTCCTCCCCAGACCCGCCATATGATTTATCACAGAATCCACATACACCCTGAAAAGATAGTTCTTTACTAAATTAGTCGATCTATCTTTGCCAATTGAGAAGAATGAATATTTTCTCTTGAAAGTAAATTCTCTTTCCATTCACTTCAAACCAGTTTGAAAATGATGCATGTACATGTTATCTAATTCTAGGTTTTCTAACCTGACTCCGACATTTTTACACCTCGTGACCATGTCTTTGAATTCGGCTTCTGTCCCTCCCCGGCTGTGAAGTTTATAACTGACCGGTTGATATCTCTCCCACCAAGGTCGCATGGGGTGTGTGACCACAACGTGTTCATTTGGAGGTGAAACCTATAATCAGAAATATTATACCTTTATACTTAAAAGAGAGATAAGTATCTTCTAAGTTTAATCTCTAAGATTATACCAAAGACCTTCAAAAGAAAGCACTCCTTCCCATCGGGATTTTGCATTATATTAATGTTCACTTTATAAACATGTGCATACAATCTAGATTTTTGGCTAAAATTTTAAAAAAAATATGTAGAAAACTTGCACAATTATTCGACACTATACCCTTCATAGAAACTTTTAATTATTTACTTTGAGTTTGTTTTAGGATTGACCTTCCGTAAGTCAATACCTAGGTTCCATAGATTCCATTCTTACATGTACCTATAGTTAGCACAGATGCCAATCTTATATGGACTCAACAGAACACATTCTTACTTGGACTCCACATTGCACTCTTTACCTGGACGCCACATAATCCACTCTTTCATTGACTCCACAGATTCCCTTTTTAGCTGGCCACCACATTACACTCCACGGTACAAACTCTCTCATGGAGGCCACGGAATCCACTCTTACCTGGCTACCACATTACAAAGAGGCCAAAGAATCCACTGTTATATGGACTCCACAGATTCCCTTATTGCCACCACATTACACTCTCTATACCTGAACGCCACAGAATCCTTTCTTTCCTTAGAATCTCTCACATTAGTTAGCAATGTCTGACCTTTTTACCCTCTCTTACCTGAACACCACAGAATCCTTTCTTTCCTAGGAATCTCTCACACTCGTTAGCGATGTCTGACCACTTCCACTCAAACAGATGGACGATCACCTGTTTACCCTGACAATGAGGGTCCGTATACTCCCCCAGAACCACTGTCAATAGAGGGTAGAAAGCAAGATACGGTCAAAACTCGTTTCGTAATTAAAATGTCCTCCCTACTGTTTTCTCTGTGATGTAAGTGCTTTTATATCATAACGTTGGACATTTTATATAAATGAGTAAAAGAAAGTGGGACTTTGGTGAAGGGAAATTGACGTCAACAAACACAACTAACTCCCACCTGATAGCACCACCGGGAGGAGGCACAGAGTCGTCGTGAGTGGAACTTTCATTCCGTCAAGCGTGGCCCCCGTAATTTTTGTGTCGCAGTAAAGTCTTATCAGACAGAGTGACCTTTGTACTGGAAGAATACCGGAACCAAGAGTAACATTGCACCAGGGGTTATCTTTAATATTGGTCATGGCAGAATTGGAAGTGTTACAGTATGTAGGACTGGTGTATGTATGTTTACTTCTTCCCGTGGGTTAAAAATAGGAACGGAACACAATGTGAACCACATTTAAACATTTCTTTATTTATAGTTAAATAAGAGGGCGATTGTTTGATTCTAACGGGGAGGGGAAGGCAGATTTTGGAAATAATTAATCTGCCCTCGAAAATATTGAAAATGAATAATCTGTCCTCAACTTTCAAGAAAATAAGCTGTCCTAATCTGTTGCTACTACACCCCCACCCACTCTCCCTCTCTTACCACAAGATAGAATTCTTGAGTTTTGCATTTGTTTTTCTATTTTGGTTGGTTTTTGTTTCTTTTTTTTATTTACTTGTCAAATTTTCTAGTGAAGTAAAAAAAAATTCTGTCCTTGATAATCTGGAAAAAAAATATCTGTCTTTCACTGGCATGAAAATAAATAATATGACTCGAAAAAAAATCCCACCTTAAGAATCAAATGGTCAGACTTGAAGACTTGGTCTGATTTTAAGCCATGAATGTCTTTGGGACACATATATATAAGCCTTGGAGATTAGACGCATACATGTACATGAACGAACAAAGCTGTAGCGACATTCTATAACACCACGCTTGGAATAAAGAACGAAGAACGGACACACTTTATCAGATCATTTAAAAAAAAATAAGGAAAATGTTACAATGAATGACTTTCATACATGTATACTTGGATTCTAGTGCATGTATACTATAGGCCAAAACTGTCTTTCATACTTGGATTCTAGTACATGTACATGTATGCTATAGGCCAAAACTATCTTTCATACTTGGACTGATTAACATGCTATAAGCTAGAACAGTCTTTTATACTTGGACTGATAATATGCGTTAGGTGGAGAACCTTTTGTATGTTTTTATTAGTGTTGACCAAAGACAATCGACATTTAAGGACCTTTCCATCTGTCTAGGAAGGATTTCAAAATAGCGCACGTGTTTCTTATAACATTTTAGTTTTGTATAAACTTGTACATATGTAGATTAATGTTTTGAAGAGAAGTTATCAAAATTTTAATTAAACCTTATTATTGAGAAATTATCGAGGAAGATGTTTTTCTTACAAGACACAATTCCTCTAAATTCATACAAATGGCACAGCTAGACCTAGAATAAAAATTATGTGGCGTACTAAAGTTAATACAAGTAAACGGAGAGAGGGATTAAAATGAGAATAAAGTCAGCTCTTGGTCCCTAAAGTGATGTTCAAACTTTATAGAACTATATTTTATTTATGATTCTGTGCAAAAAAATATAATTTGAAGTACTTTTAAAAAAATTTTGCACCTCGAATTTTTTTTATCTTCACAAAAACGTGTCCCAATTGCAATCATTTCAATTTATCACATTTCTTGTTTACATGCCTGTGATGAAATAGAGAAAACTCGGTAAATTTTTATATATCTACTGTCAGGGGCCAAAATTAGTCTTTATTGTTTATTTATTTATTTATTTATTTATTTATTTATTTATTTATTTATTTATTTATTTATTTATTTATTTATTTATTTATTTTTGTACAAGTGTATGGTCCTTAAAGTCAATATGAGGTTTTTTCCCTTTAAATCCCAATTCTATGTTTACAAACATTGTACATGCTATAGTGGATAAGTTTTTCAATGTTATTTAAATGAGTTAAAAATCAATATGTACAGCCGAGCGCGATATATTCCGAATTTAAAAACAGGAAGTTAATTTGTTCGATAGCGTTCATGGCAACTAAAGGAAAATGTATCTGTTTCTCTTCTCAGTTTATTTCCTCTCAGTAATTACAGCTACAGGTAAGTTAATGTTTACATCTGCAGGTAACTTCTGATACAACACCCTACAGGAGTTTTATTAAGAGGACATTTCTTGCCTATCTCAACATGTATATACATGTACAAGATAAAACAAGGAATAGAAAAGTTTGTTTTGTTTTAAATTTAGAAAAAATTAAGATTGTTTGAAATGTTTTAAAAACAGAGAAATGTAAAAGTCAATAATTGATATAGGGGTATCTTTAAAAATACTCAGTTATTTTGCATTGTTTTGATGTCTCCCCCCTTTCATTTCCAGTTGCCGAATATTGTACCGCCAGTTCTAACCTATTTTACTGTGAGTATGGCTGCTGTGGGAACTCCTGCTGCCCAAATGAGTAAGTGCCGGATAACTCACCTTGTGGACAATTACACATAAAACATAAAGAAAGCCAAGCGACTGAAAACGTAATGTAATTTAACCAGAGAGTAGCAGATAGTAAGATGGAAAACCCTACATAAGGAACAAGTATTCAGAGATTAGTTGTCAAAGCACCTTTGTGCAGAGACAAACATAGTAGGACAAACATTTAGAACTCAAACCACATAACAACATAATAGTCAAAGTACCTAATGACACAGATTAAGTAGACAAACCACATAAGAACAAAGATGGAGTAGACTAGTAAAGCGACCTCAAGAAAGAGGTAACATAGTCAGTTCATTTCAGGGCAGGTAATACTGTCAAACCGTATAAGAACACATAGTCAAAGCACCTTGTACAGAGAGGCGCTCCACTATCTTGAAACTAATTAGCATTATTTTATTGCATATCCTATATTTCACTGATGTTTAAAGTGTTTTGATTTGTATTTTATGTGTATTTTTTAATCTTTGGTAATGATGAATTTTGATTTAATCTATTAACTTCCCCCAGGGTAGCTATTGGTGTGGGGACGACTTTTGGGGGGATTGTTTTGTTGATAATCGCTGGAGGAGTGTTTATTTGCTGTATACAGAGAAGGTACAACCCCAAGGAGGCTGTCAAGTTTACCAAGGACGCACAGACGCAGTGGGAAAAAGGTAAACCTACATACCCAAAGCTTCGGAATGAGAAGAACAATGACATCAATTAAAATATTTATGATATATCATTTTTGATCATTATTTTCTAAAAAATCAACATTATACTGGCATATTTACATTGATAGAGTAATTGAAAAGTTAACAAATTTCCTTGCAGTATACAAGTAAAAATTTCATTTATAGCAAAATTATCTAAAGAGTACATTGTCTATACTTGTTTGTATTTTTTATTTTTTCTTTTTTAGCTCCAGTTGGTATAAACAGGCAAGCTACAGCAGATAACAACCCCAAAAAACGTCGGTCTACCGTAGCACCACTCCCCCCACCTACCTGTAAGTATAATTTACCAGAGAACATCTCTCAACCTAGCAATGATCTAGCATAGCACCTCCCTCTCCACTTAACTGTAACAATGATCTACCATAACTCTCTCTCTCTCTCTCCACTTCACTGTAAGTATAATCTATCATAACACCCTCTCTCTCTCTCCACTTAACTCTAAATGTTATCTACAATTGCACCCATCTCTCTACTTATCTGTAAATGTTATCTACCATAACTCCCGTCTCTCAATATACTATTGACTGTAAGTATGAAATCCAATAGAACCTTAATCAAAACTTTATGCTTACTATCAATTAACAGAGAACTTCTTCCTCCACATAAAAGTCTCACTACATTATGTATCACCTCCATTGTTTTATCATGTAGAATCTAATATAACTAGAGTGTTCCAAGGAAGACATGTGTCGCCTGCTATATAGCATCATTAAAATACATTAATAAAACCAAAGGCTGATCTTTTTTAAAAAAAAATAAATTTCATACAAGCATTAAAGTTCTTGCAAAGAAAGAAAAATCCATGGATTATAAGACCGTGATAATTAATCATAATCAAATGGACAATTAATTTGAATTTATCAAAAATAATCAACCATTCATAAGAGTTTATTTATTCACGAGCCTAAGTCGGTATACCGATGCCGAATTAACGGAACAATCGAACATCACACGGGCTTTCCCGTCAAGTCAAGAACAACATCGGCCTTTTCTGAGAAAATTTTATTGGAAACAAAATGTGTTTGTGAAAACTGATGCCCCTGTATGGCAACTTATAGTAAAGGTTAAACTTTCTCATGTGCAAATCAAATATGTTGGTACTCAAAGTAAGGTCTTGTCTCGAGGTATATACCTGTGAAATATGAAAGCCCAAGCAGCAACCATTGAATAGATATGGAAAATGTTAAAGTTTTTCAAAAGTAAGTCAAACATCGAGGTCAAATGGTCAAAATTAATGGTGCCCAAGGAAAGGACTTCTCACAAGAAATACACATGTGAAATATGAAAGCCCTGGCATCAACTGTTCAAAAGTTATGGACAAGGTTAAAGTTTTTCAAAAGTAGGTCGAACTCCAAGGACTAAGGGTCAAAGTAGTAAGGTCATGTCACAAGGATTACATATGTGAAGCCCTAATACCAACTGTCCAAAACTAATGGCCAAGGTTAAAGTTTTCCAAAAGTAGGTCAAACTCCATGGTCAAGGTCAATGGGCTGTAATTCTTGGTATACAAAGAAAGGTCTTAAACAAGAAATACACATATGACGTAAAAAGCCCTAGCACCAACTGTTCAAAAGCTGTGGCTAAGGTTAAAGTTTTCCAAAAGAAGGTGAAACTCAATGGTCAAGGTCAAAGGGTCAAAGTTAATTGAATCCAGAGAAAAGGTCTTGTCACAAGGATTACACATGTGAAGCATGAAAGCCCTAGCACTAACTGTTCTAAAGTTACGGCCAAAGTTAAAGTTGGGTAAAATTTTGTAAAACTGGGTTAGTTTAAGGATTTCTAACCCTAACCCAAAAAGTCAAATATGATGGTACCAAAAGAAAGGTCTTGTCACAAGGAATAAACATGTGAAATATGAAAGCTATAGCTCCATCCAATTAAAAGTTATGGTCAAGGCTAAAGTTTTTGTAGACAAACAGACAGACAGACAGCTAGACAGACAGACAGACGGACGGACAGGGCAAAAAATATATGCCCTGGAATCCTCGCTTAAGTTGGCATAAAAATTATTATCCATGAGATTAATTCAACAATCACTAAGATTCACAATCGATAGTCTGTATACCGATCCCGTTTCATTTTAACTAATGGAACAATCGGAACATCATGTAGCCTTTTTCTTCAAGTCGAGAAAAACCGAGGTTTTATCTCAGTTGACCAAGTTCCGATTGCTAACAGAATACATTTAAATTTCAGTTTGTGCGGTTAATGTAAATTAATACTTCGAGGTTATAAACAAGTTTATAAATGCTAGTTACCAAAGTACAACTTCTAAAAATTCATAAGACATAAGTTAACTAAACGGTTCGGAGTGTTCTTAAAAAAAATCTAGGTTAAAGGTCACGTAAATCTGATATATTTCAACATGTCTTACGGTAAGCAGTGAACATGCCAAATACACTGAAATAGCAGACTTAGCTCTCAAAGGTCAAAGAACATATGTACATCGGCACTAATATGGTTTATCATGAAAAGTATAGGTCAAAGCTAAAGTTCAAAGGTCAATCCTGTTTTTTTTTTTAAACAAAACCAATTTTTCCAAGCAAAACACGTGTAAAATATTAGATATATAGCTCAAACAGTTCTCAAAATATATGGTTTGACGGACGGACAGACGTGATGGCTACTGAGTTTGTTCAAAAAGAATAGAATCGGATTTTTGAGTCGTCGTCCTTTGGACTAAAGAATACGTTTAGGGAAAACCCTTAACGCATCCTTTAAACGACGAATAATTATGCTTTGTTTATAATTTGTTTAATAAATATCATATTTCTGAAACGCTTTTTACTCTAAATACCAAAACAAAATCAGCGTCAAATTTACTTTAAGTTTGTATTTTTCTCTAGTTGCCCTAAGACAACAAACCAAAATAGAAGAAGTTGAAGAACAGTCGGAAAATACGGGAAATAATCAACAGAATCAACCAATCGACAACCCGGTGTGATGACGTTATTTATCACGTGACAACAGTGCCATATAAAATACCAGTATATATTGTGCCAAAACGTACTGAATTCTACGTGTCAAAAAAACAATACAAAGCTTTATATGCCATTTGAAGTGGGTATTTTCATGGTGTATGATGTGATCGTTGGAATGGTTCCGATATATCGTAAGAATGATAAACAATCATTGTATTTAGATCATTTGACTGATATTATTGGATTTTAATTTTTACTCACTGAAGGATTTTATGTTTTGAATGCTAAGTAGTTTTTTATGCCCCCATAATCGAAGATCGGGGGCATATAGTTTTTGCACTGTTTGTCCGTCCGTCTGTCTGTCTGTCTTTTTGTTCGCAAAAACTTTTACCTTGTCTATAACTTTTGATTGGTTGGAGCTATGGCTTTCATATTTCACATGTGTATTTCTTGTAACAAGACCTTTTTTGGGTACCAACATATTTTACCTTTTGGCCTTGGAGTTTGACTCTCTTTTGCAAAATTTACCTAACTTTAACCTTGGCCATAACTTTAGAACAGTTGGTGCTAGGACTTTCATACTTCACATGTATATTCCTTGTGAGAACTCCTTTCTTTGGGTATAAATATTTTTGACCTTGACCTTGGAATTTGACCCACTTAAAAAAAAATAATAACCTTGCCCATAACTTATGAACAATTAATGCTAGGGTTTTCATATTTCACATGTACATGTATATTCCTTTTGACAAGACCTTCTATTCAACTTCAACAATTTTGACCTTTGACCTTGGAATTTGACCTACTTTAAAAAACTTACCTTGGCCATCATTTTTGAACTGTTTGTGCTATGACTTTCATATTTTACATGTATATTTCTTGTGACAAGACCTTCTCTTGGGTACCAACAGAAGGACTTTTTTCCTTGACCTTTGAGTTTGACCTACTTTTGAAAAACTTTAATCTTGTCCATAACTTTTGTATGGTTATTGCTATAGGGCTTTCATATCTCGCATGTGCATTTCTTTTGACAAGACCTTCCCTTGAGCACCATTACTTTTGACCTTGACATTTTACTTTCTTTTGAAAAAAAACTTTAAGCATTACTTTTCAGCGGTTGGTGCTAGGGTTTTCATTTTCACATGTATATTCCTTGAGGCAGGACTTTTCTTTGGGTAACAACATTTTTGATCTCTGGACTTTGACTTGCATTTGAGAAACATTAACCTTAGCCATAAGCTGCCATACGGGGGCATCAGTGTTTCACAAACACATCTTGTTTTATCAATACTAATTTTCATGCAAATTTATTAGACGTACTTTTTATAGTATTCATAGTCATAATAAACATCAAAACATTTTGACTTATATGTGAATCAAATGAATTATTTCCCTGTCATAAATTATATTTTGCCTTTTTGTGTTTATTAGGTAATTAAACGGACATTTTAAATTACCTCTGAACTGTACGCTTATTAACAATTAGAGAGTTCCTGGGAAATATTGCCTTAATATTTTATATTAATTGATACGTCGTCATTTCCACTATCCCTCAGATTAGATGCAGTCTACTGCAGTATCAGCCGACAACTTTACTTGAATTGAGTCGGTATTAGAAATCATACAATGAATTTCAGTTTACGTGGTAAATATATATAGAGCAGTTGATAGTACACGCACTGTCATGGAGTTATAAACGTGCAATATATCGTTAAATCAGAGCTAGTTATTTATGCCCTATCTCTTAAAATTCATAAGATTTGTTACAATTCCGTATCAAAGTACTGAAAAGTAGGTCAAAGTGTATTTAAATTGGTATTTTACATCAAAATGTCTTATTTGCCAAATAGTTCTTACTCTTCAGTAACCCTTGGTATTTTACAAAGGCCATTGTGCCAAGCAATACAAAGGCTAAATATAAAATCCTAACACCTTGCAGTTCATGAGATACAAGGTTTGACAGACAGACATACGGACAGACACACGACAAGTAAAGTGATCCTTAAGTGTCGTTCTGCTCTGCTGGCGACAAAAAAAAAATATATTCCCCCCACCTAATTTCAACCCTGGCCATCACTGTGTAACTACTACTAGTATGTCTTAGAAAAAAGCAAACACATCTCTTAATCAATTGTATCATCATCCTTTATTTGGTATCATATGTCATCATACATAAAACAAATACACATAAATGTACATAGTCATTTGAAAGACAATATTTGAGAATCCATAAATTTTAAATAGATTTATAAATAGATATTCAGGAAACCATATTTTAGATAGTGACTAGTTGATACCAGGATAACCCATTAAAGCTGGAGAGCTTATTTCCAATGGGGTCCTACCCTAAATAAGATAAAAATACAATGTTTCATCATTAAAGCACTATAACAATTTTTGGCACTATAATTTTAGCACTGCGTTGCTTACACGTTAAATTTAATTTAAGTATGACAACATATAGGATCAATAAAATAATAAAATATGTTTTATAAGTTAATGCTAAAACATATCACTTTCATGTTCTAAAATGCCATTTTGTAAGATAAAACTCTTAACTTGTTTCTTAAAAGTACTCTTTCCTTTAGTACATTTAATAGAAGCTGGTAAAAAATTCCAGTCCTTAATGCCATTATAGTAAAAAGTATCCGCTTGACATGTTTTCACATGAGGAATAAAAAAATCTTCATTAGTGGATGCTCTAGTGTTTCGTGAAGACACGGCTGACCTTAAAGTAAAATTTTCGCTTAGATAGGATGGCGCACAACCATGATATATGTTATACACATGGTTTAATCTGAGTTGTCGTACCCGGTCTTCTATATTTAAATAATTTAATGTACTAAGCACTTTGTAGTTTATGGAATGTAAAGGAGTTAAATTCAGAATAAATCTTACCATTTTGTTTTGACATACTTGTAATTTCTTTTTCAAACTCTTTGACAAACCTGCATACCATGCACAGCAAGCATAATCTAAATGACATTGTATAAGAGCAGAACATAATAACATTTTACTTCTTATATCCAAAAAACGAGCTTGTCTGTATAAAAAACGCAACCTGTTGTTGACTTTTTGTACAATGGACTCAACAATAAATTCACCACTCAGAAATTGATCAACAAAAACTCCTAAATATTTAACTTTTTCCATAGAATGTATTGTATGTCCATTACACTCAATGTGAAAATCTTGGACACTTGAAAGCTTCTTTCTTGATCCAAATAAAATACATTCAGTCTTCCCAAGGTGTAGAGATAACTTATTATCTACTAGCCAATTTGAACATTGTTTTAAAACAGTACTAAGTTTTTCTGAAATAAAATCTACATTTTTATGAGAAAATAAGATTGCACTATCATCAGCATATAAAATAAGTTTGCATTGTAACGAAATAAAAAGGACTAAATATATTTTAATCAAAGGTTCAAAATAATTTCCTTGACAAAATGCTAGTATGTATGAAAATTCAACATCTTTTTGACCCCTGACCTTGACTTTTAAGATATACCTTGAACAAAGGACACATTTCAAATATAACTTACGTAGTAAACGCTCATTACACAATTTCAATACGTCACTATTCAGCGACCTTGATCTTTATAGCATGACGTGAATCAAGATCCAATCACACTTTTGTGTCATTGGCAACAAGATACTACGTATATAGTACTCAAATCTTAATTTATTCCCATCAATGAAAATAATTGATACGTCATTGTCCAGTGACTTTGACCTTGTGACCTTGAGTCAAGGTATTAGAGTCAATTTATTCCAAACTGAGGCATACAAAAATTTTCTGAGACCAAAGAATTTTTAAAAAAATTTTATTTGAAAGACGCAAGGTGAGCAATAAGTTAATGAGGTACAGATACAAATGACGTCATGTTTATGTCCATGGCCTGCTACGTTTTTTCCGACATTGATGTGAGAATAATTTTGTCTATTCCCTGTAGCTTCTTTTTCTCTTTTCGTGCTGCCTTCTCTCTCTCCTGTTTCCTTCTCATTCGTCTTCTAAAATCTCGCTCTCCAATTAACAACTCTCTGTAAAAGTATTGAATTGACTCAAAAAGTTATCACTTCATTCAGAACTAATAATAAAATCTAATTAATTGTCATAACAAAAGCAAGGAAATTGCACAAAACACATGTTATTAATTATTACTAACGATTAAATTTCAGAAAAATGAATTTCTTGAGTACTTTCTTGTAAGTTTTCCGTTTTATCAAATAGACTATGAACTCTGCAATATAATAGTTAAGCAGCCATATTGCATGGTTTATTTGATAAAAACGAAACTTTTTTCTACAAAAGGGCAGCATCATTACTGTTCTAAAACATCCGCTAGTATCTAAAAATCAATCGCAGACAAAGAAAATAGCAATTATCTTTTAATAGACAAAAATATATATTATCAGTAACGTAAGGAAAATAACTTTACACCAATAGAGTAAATCAACAAAAATAAAATACTTTATATACTTATAATTGAAATTAAAAATTCAAATAGCAATATTTCTTTGAAGCAGATTCAGATTTCTTATACCAACACTCCAACAAATAAACACAACATGCACACAAAGCAAAACAAATAAAATTATTCCAGAAACAAAACACTATAGCTGTATCTAGCCGATATCTAGCCACATCAAAACCTCTTTATTCCGAATAAAGCATGAAGCTTTAATGGCAATCAATCAAGCGATTCCGATGTTCACAACACAACAATATTCTTACCATTCAAAAGTTTCTCCAGTTTTCTTTAAATTCAGCAAGAAATAAATTTATTTTATCATTTAAATAATTCAGAACTTCAGGAAAATATGAATTGTAATAAATCACGTGACTAGTACTAAGTACTCACGATCACGTGACTAGTACTCACGAGAAGTCGACCTCGCCATCTCCATCCATGTCCAGTTTGTCCAACATTTCATCCAGCTGGTGTTCAGTCAAGGGAACCTCCGCCACCTATAAATAGAAGTAACAGGAAGTAAGGGGGATCCCGACTCGTGGATAAAAGTACGGCATAATGATTAAAGAAGTAACAAGAAGTAAGGGGGAAATCCCGACCCGTGGATAAATGAACAGCATAATGATTACAGATACACTAATTAAAAACATATTTATACCAACATTGACATTTTTCGATCAAGTGAAAAAAAAATATTTATAGGATCTCATATTTTCTGACTTTCTTTCCAAGACTGAAGTATTAAGGATATTTTAAAATAATTCTGGCTGTTTTTAGGGTATTAGGAAGGAAGACTTTTGGGGACAATTCAGGAACTAATATTATGCTAGAGTTACTAGAAGTTCAGCTTTATCTCCATCTTCTGTAAGGACTTTGTTTTCATTACAGAAGAATATTTGTGAGGAGAGGGTCGGTCCCCCTAACTACTAACACGTACAGACCCTCCTCTGATATTTACCATCATCCCGCGTTTGAACTCCTCCCTGCTGACGCTCATATCTCCGTCCTTGTCCAGCCACTTCATCAGATCTATCACACGGTAATTGTGCTCGTGCATGTACTTATACAACTCATACACCGCGTCCAAATTTCCGTCTATACCGTCCCCTTTCCTTCCACGTGCGTTTTCACGCTTGATCACTTGTCCGTGAACCACATTTAATGACCTGGTTGACTGAAGGTCATCCAGCTGGGACAGGAAATCTTCGTCCACTTCGCTGCTCTACATAGCGAAAAAGAAACTAGACAATACATATATTTAAAGTTGTCTAAAGACCGCATAACCTGAATATGAGAGGTCAAAATCTGTAAAAAGGCGTTCATTGTGGTAATATATCAACGGGATATAACGAGATATGGATATTAACGAAACATTTTTAATTGGCGTTTCTCTATATCTGTATTGTACTGTACACAGTTCATGAAAACAATAATATATAGTGACAGCTCCTGAATTTCCTTTCATGCACGATATTCATGAAATACCAGCTTATATTTCAGATACAATAACATGAATAACTCTTACATTAAATAAAGGCTAATTGTGAATTTGCCGATGAGCTACTCAACCCGAGGTCCAGGAGAGTGATCCTGCAGGAGTCTGACTGATCAACTACTCACCCCGAGGTCCTACAGTGATCTGACTAACCAACTACTCACCCCGAGGTCCTACAGTGATCTGACTAACCAACTACTCACCCCGAGGTTCTACAGTGATCAGACTAACCAACTACTCATGCCGAGGTCTTACATTGATGTGACTAACCAACTACTCACCCCCGAGGTCCTACAGTGATCAGACTAACCAACTACTCACCCCGAGGTCTTACAGTGATCTGACTAAACAACTACTCACCCCGAGGTTCTACAGTGATCTGACTAATCAACTACTCACCCCGAGGTCTAGCAGACTGATCCTGCAGGAATCTGACTGAGCAATGCAGGACAAAATGATAATGGCAAGTTCTGGCGTGATAGAGTTTCCTCCCATCTACAACAGGAAAACAGAAGCATTTCTTACCTTTCACAATGACAACTAAGAAAACTGTGACGAAACCCATCATTGAACAAAGTATTTTAGCAAAGCGCTAATTCTTAGGATTGTTAAATCATAATGAATTTGCTTTTTATTTGTCCAGTGATATTCACACTTGCCAAATGCATAGCAGTTAACTTATTAAACATTCCATCTCAAAGGAAATCGTCCTTATTATGCCGCAGTAACCCTTCTGTGCATTCTGTGTAAATGTAGAAGAATATAAAGGAAATATGTCATAATGCCTTTATGCATGTTGGTGGGATATTAGTAAGAGAAATGGATTTCAATTTCATTTTCCGTAATTTCTGCAATCTGAACTCATTCTTTAAGATGCATATTACTTTTTGTACATGCAATGATAATTTATAATTGGCTCTACACCCTGCCCTACCCCCCACCCCATCCCCATGATTCCATTCTGCACGTGAAATGATTCGATTTCCCGGGCCTTACCCTGAGGATTTCCAGGCCGTCACTGTCTTTGACCCCTTGCATGAGGTACCCTATCCCCTCCTTGTCTAGTCTGTTGTGTGAGATGTCCAGTTCCTTTAGTGTCGTGTTTTCCTTCAGCGATTTACACAGCACTATGGCGTCGTTCTTAGCAAAACCATTCCACGCTAGATCGAGCTTTCTGAGACCTATATTTTTCTGAACAGTAAATAAAAAAATAAAATTATCTGATTCATTAAAGCAGTGTCCCTAAACATTTAGATTTCAAATAAATTTATGCCAAGTTTAATACCGCTGCTAGAATTACAGTTTAACCTCAATATCTAGATCTTGACGGGTTGAAAAACTAAGAGATATGCGGGTAGTGCAGATCGAAGTGCAATACTTAATTGATAATAAATGACCGTCTTCCACATATCCGTCAATCAGTGCTTGAATATAGAGGTTTAACTGTATGCTAGTCAGCCTAACTAGAGCTTCAGTGTATATATATTGATGACAGATCCTACCCTACCTGTAGACTAGCAGTGATGGCGAGGGACCCCTTACCCCTCAAGTGATTCCAACTTAAATCGAGGATTCTTACAGTATCATTATTGGCTGAAATTAAAGAAAGAAGTAAGTATTAGTATACATGTATATGCTATGTTTTACAACCGTCCCTGAAAATTCCGTTCCATGTTGTAAAGAATTATGTTTCATTTATAATGTCGTCACTGAAGGATTTTAAACCATTTCCAACTAAATTAGAGTTGTAATTTCGATATGACGATATCTTATTCAGACAGCCTTACCTATTGCTTGTGCTAGGATGTATCCCCCTTGCTCACAGAATCCATTGTGACTTAATATCAGTTCTCTAAGTGTTGTATTATTCTGTACAATAAAGATTTTGATAGAATCTCATAAATGAAGTGATTGTTCCATAAAATATTTCAAAGTTAACATTTGAAATCCCAAAAGGAATGTAAGATATCAGCTATAATTTATTACTATTCAATATAAGCTATTATAGAAATCATAAATTTAGAATACCTGTAGAATATCATTCATTATCAGTTATTATATATTTAGTACCTGTAAGATATCAGCCATCAGTTATTATCAGTTATATGTACATGTATTTAGTACCTGAGATATGAACCATTATCATTTATTACATACTGAGTACCTGTAAGATATCAGCTATCAGATATGCATCACTATCGACTAGATTACTTCCTGAAAAATAGAAATAAGAACCACTCAATATTACTGTCTTTATTTCCTGTCTTAAAACGACTATTACTGTATCATTATCGCGGGCACCTGTAGATATCACTCACCTGATATATCCAGGGACTGGATAAACTGATTAGTTTTCATCAATTTAGATATTGCACGTGCCCCGTTTGTTCCTATACAGTTCTCCGAGATATTCTGTAAAATACACCGTCATGTTTAGACAAAGGTGTGTCAAATTATGTGAAGGTTAATCACTATGACAGAGAAAAAACCGGAATGAATTGCATTAGAATCAATTGTCACTCTTTCGATTAAATGTAGCATTTATGAAAAATTGTAAATTACATATATTCATTTTAAATTTTGAAAAAAGGGTTATGTAGTATGTCATCCATATGAAATATTTCTATGCAGAGACTATACTGAATTGAGCAATAATTTCTGATCTTTCCACAAATTAATGTTAGTATACTTTAATTGACTGAAAAAATAGTATTATAAAAAGAAAGAAAGCTCACTCACCACGTCTACGATGTTACTATTAACTTCTAACATTTCTGCTATAGCTTTAGCTCCATCAGCCTCGATTCCGTCATCCTCTAAATCGAGGCTGGTTATGACGTCATTATTCTGAAATGATTCAAAATCGGTGACATCTTTTGAAAAAAAAAAAAAGCTTCGTGTTTCCTTACTTTACTCCTTGCTCTGTTCTTGAAATATTCATCGAGTAGTATTAATGAAAATGAAGCCACCAACGGACAATCTATCAGTTTCACTCTCTATTAAACAAATATACACTTGATATATACTCCACAAGATTTACCCGTGTTCCAGTACATGTATTTATATATGTACTTGTTAAAAGTTTCGATGAGCATAAAGACACGGTACTCACGAGTAAAGCTATGGCGAGCGCCCGCGCCCCCAAGGGTCCTATACTGTGACTCCTCATCACCAGGCCCTTGTTTGACATCTGTTTGCTGAGGTAGGTGACGGGGGTGATCCCCAGTAGATTACACGAGTCCAGGTAAGCCTGTAGGCGCCCCTTTGGCTTCACGTCTACTTCCTCTACCTTTGGTTCCGGCTCAACTGTAAATCAGACACGTGTTCGATTGAAAAAAAATGGAAAGCGGAATTTTTGTTCTAATAATTACTATTATAGCAAAAAAAAAATAAACCGGTTAGTGTACGTAGACTCAAACATCGTGTAAAAGTCAACGAAAAGGTATGAACCTTTATACATTTATTCAGATTTAGAAGGCTTATATTTAGATCAGTAAATGTACAAACATTTCTACATAACTTTAACTATATACTGTTTGAAAAGATATTTTATCAAAAGAAAACTTCCTACTTTGACAGTAATGTCCGTCTTTAAATTCACGACATGATAGATAATTTGCAGAATTAGTAGTTTTAAAATGTCTACATGTGATGGAATTAAATTTCGGAATTATAAATTAGATATGTTGCCTATACTTTTAATACATGGTTTGGTAAACATTAAAAATAGTGAATTATTACTTGGAAAAGATAAATTAACTTAACCAGATGAACGTCTGAGGCTTCACGTCAGGCTTTTATGTAATGTAATGAGTTTTTTCATAAAAAAAGATTTGAAGGTATAAATAGTGGCTTATCGCACAAAAAGAACTTTGATAATACATAGAAGCTAATATTGAGAAATTGGTTTTGTGTAAATCTGGGTAATATTTATCTCACTTGAATCACTTTTCCCTATATACTGACTTGGAATTTACAATGGCTCTACGCCATATGCATGTTTTCTATATCATGTTTTTTTTAAAATGCTAAAACATATTGATTAATGATTATCTTTCTTTTTCTTGCCAATCATATTTTTTTTTGTTACACGTCTTCAGAATTCTTTCAGTTAAAAGCTTTAACCCTAAAATGGCCCCACGATCCACCCACTCGCCTTTTAGAGAGGTATATTTTATATCATAATATTTTACACACAGGGACTAAGCCCATTTTGACCCCAAACTCTTCGTACCCCATAATTAAAGAGTCTTTAATTATTGATACGAAGAGTTTGTATTCAAAAAGGGCTTATAACCCCTGTGATTTTACACTATAGATAAGAATGCCGACTTCTGACTAGTACTGTTTCCGAAATTAATATTTCAATTTTTTCTTTCTCTGTATATTCCTTTTTTTTAATTGAAGTTACTAAAATGATAATTTAAACAAACATACATCTATCCAATTTAAAGAAGCCTTCATATAAGTGTGTCTGTTTATAGGGAGGGTTCTTGAGAAAATGTTTTATTAAATGAATTAGCCCTAACTAGGTCATTTGTTATCTCCACTTAGGAGGGTATACGGCCTTCATTTTTAAAATATGAAAGCACGGACAAAAGAGAAACAGAGAAGTTATTTCAACTTTGGCCGTTTTGTGGAATTGTCCGATTCTGATGACATATCAACGTTACCATCAGCCATGATGTCATATCCGGTAAAGGTAAACTCTCTGATTGGCTGAAGCTTGGAGAATTCCGTCGAGACACTCTCGTCATCCTGAGATCGCCGGGAGTATGCAGTGCTTCTTCCGGGTGCAGTTCCGGGTTTTTTGACGTCAGCATTTAATTCAGACTGGGCAGGAGACTGGGGCTTACTTCCGGTTCCGATGGGAGATCCGGCTACTACAGACTCCCTACTGCTGCATCTTTTGTCGTGAAGCTTTAGTGAACTAGAACTGAGGTAGAGAGTGGCAGCTTTACTTCCGATCAAAACATTTTCCCCTTTTCCGGTGGAGATGAAGGCGGATTTACTGCTGTCCTGCATTGTGGAGTCCCGATGTACTGAGACCCAGGTGGCGCCCCGATCTCCTGTCAACTGTAAAAGGATCCAATTTTATAATTATTATGTGTCTGTTATGCGTTACAATTAAATAAACTTCATGCGCCGTGATTTCCATGTTATTGAACACGTCGGTCTATGCTTTGCAGTTATTTAAATGAATGGGTTTTTCACATTATTGTACGTCAATGAACGATTCGAACAAAAAGCATGAGTAAAGTTTTCATTTAGGATCAGGCAATAGCTTTAGGTTAATTATATACGAGACATGAAAAACAACTTCCAACAGTAAAGTACACTTACTCGGACCGTACGTCGTCAAAAGTTACGCTTATTTATCCGAACTGAGAAACATAATGTTTTTATTAGTATAACACCAAATAAGAAATTTAATCAATTTACAGTTTTTAAATCTTACAAGCTTAAAGATATCAAAGGAAATCCTTCATAATGTTCTTGTGACACGTAACAAGATCAGACAGTATATATTAATATTAATTTCTTTTCACTTCTGAACCATTTCTTGATTTTTCGTACTGTTAAATGATATCATATAACACAATGGTGCCTTTCGTTCGGACTTTAAGATGACATTATATAACAGACCTATAGGGAGAGTGACGGATGAGAGGGGGAAGGTGGGAGGGAAAGAGAGAGATATAACGGGAAATTAAAATTTAAAAAATAAATGGATGGATGTGGGAGAAAATGGAGAGTTGTTTTGAAAAGGGGAAAAAGGAGGATAAAGAGATGAAGGAAATAAGTGACTTAGAGAAGAGAGAAAAGGGCTGGAGAAATCCCCCTCCCCCCCTCAATGTTAATGACATAAAACATACCCGGACACTCAGAGAAGAGAGAAAGGGGCTGGAGAAATACCCCCCTCAATGTTATTGACATCATAAAACATATCGGGCACTTAGAAATTTTAAAGGAGATGTGCTTATAAGAACTGCGTTCAGTTAGTGATTATATGAAGCATCTTATTAAAGGGGATCAAGACATTAATCAGACATCATATTACTTGTCTCTCTTAACATGTAAGAAAAAAATCTTATTTATAACATGCTGTATAAAAAATAATATATACATGTATACAGACTAAGTCTCAGCATGTATATTTCAGATCGCGGAAGGTGAGCATATTATGAGTAAAACATCAGGTCTTCGCATATTTGTAAAGTAGTACCTTATATGTGTAGCGTGGAGACATGGGTCACCATGACTCGTACATATAGGACTACATATATTTTATCTGAAAACTAATTGTGAATGGTTAATATGGATTATATGCCTGCATGCTAAAGCAGAAAAACATTTACAAGTGCCAAGGTTTATTTTAACACGTTGAGTTGCATGACACACTGTAATTTGTCTTTTCTATAAATGGGTAGCCGTTCACATTTACGGGAGTTTGTAAGCATTCTGGATCATTATTTGATGTGGCTATAGAAAATTTAGGGAGATAGAGATTATTACCGTGAATATAAACTTAATTATAACAAATATGCTTTGCATTCAATATACCTGAAGAATACACATGTATAATTTGATTTGCATACAGAATTTTTTTTAAGAGTTATTATTTTTTTCTTTGCCATTAGATTATAATTGTATACTTCAAGTTTAAGAGCAGGGTATCTTGTTTCTTGAAACTGAACCTGAAATTTTTTAGGGCGTCGGACATAAAGCCAGTTAAAAATAACATGGTAATACTTTTGAATTACTGTATTATATTGACTGGTGGACAACATACGTGCGTCATCTAAATGTAAATATATAATTATATAGATATAAAACCAAAGAAATAATGCGTCTAACCTTATTCCCCATGACGGCGCTGTATATGTATTTGGCGCGGAGTCTCCACAATGTATAAATTTAAAGTGGGTAAATTTTATGACTTGTTGGGGAGGTATCGATGACAGATATTATCTGGCTTTTAATTTTACTCGATTCCGTGTTTGAATGGTCATTAGATAATGCGTACGATTTCTCAAATGGCTTTTAAATGAATGGCCCACACCCTGAGACCCCGGGTGTCAGTGTGTCGTGGGAAGAGAGAGAGAGAGAGATTGACATATGGCTGTACCCTATTTTATGACACCATTACTGAATAAATGATTTCCTGTTCGTAATCATACATGATATTTTATATTAATACATATTCCTACTTTTTAAGACCTAAAGGCTAAAGTCATGTGCGGATCTCTAGGGCGGTCGGGGTCCGACCCCCCCCCCCCCGCCCCCCCTGAAATTTGCAGAGTTATTAAAAGTATATACTGAAGAAAATAGAAAATAACTTTGTACCCCCCCCCCCCCAGAGAAAACGTGGACCCCACCATCACCACCACGAAATAACGAAAACAGGACTCCCTCCCCACCCACCCCTCTCCTGCACGTCAGCTATAACCACAAATTTCACTGTTGTGATCTGGTGAGAAAAAAAATCAGCAATATACAGGACCAAAAAGCTAAAACTGTTGAAATCAAATTTAAAAGAAATGAATAAATTGTTTCTTTAGATTAAATTTATCAATTGCAACAACATGCATATCAAAAATCTTTTGAAGAGATTACAATCAAAGAATCTGTCCACCTTTGTTTCTAAAAGTATTTATATGATTCGTAAAAAAATCCCATACCTGTTAATTGAAAACCGACAGCAACATTCTGTGCAGAAATTCACTTTTGAAGTCCCTGCATTTATTTTGTGTAAGCAAATGTAAGACACCGTGTTTATAAATCACATCTTTGATTCGAAAGTTTTTCGAGATAAAATCGATAAAACGCCATTGTTTTAAGAAGACCTTTGTTTTAAATTCCTCCAGTGAGTTTTGTGTTTCTTTGTCAAGGTGCTATAATGAATCAGGATTCGCCGAGAAGCTTTTATATTTCCCCGTATCTGGGATATTACTGAAGGCTGCTCGCGACAAATCTAGTCATTGATTGGATTCGTTATATATTATAACAAAGTCTGAGCTTTACACGGACTTAACAATTAGACTCGTGTAGGTTCCCAAGAATTGATGCCTAATTAAAGGCGAGAAAAGCCACCGGAATTAGGCACCTATTGGTTTCAATGTTTAAATTTCGTAAATCTCCCGTATTGATTGATGCTAATTATTGACAATTACTTTCTGAAATACCTTAATTATTTCAAATTGCTTTGACTGTTTATGGGCTTTTAATTTCACGTGAAAACTTGAGGCGTATAAAGAAAGAAAACCATTGAAATAAAAAATGTTGATATATTAGTACAAAGTGTTTTTTTTTTAATTTGAGAATTAAAAAAAAATTCACGTAGGGGAAAAAAAGCTTACCTTATCTTAGTGACTAACGATCCCCCAGTATCTGATTAATTAATAATTAATTAGTAATCTAATATACACACATAAAGTCTTCTCAATATTTGTACAGAATTTCATATTTGCTCTGCATGATAATCAATCAGCTAGAAGGGGGATGTTGCTTATTATATACATGTCCTTTGCATAATAAATAAACACAAATTTTATCTAGCGGTGAGCTATCATTTTCATGTCAAATATAGTGTATATCATCGATCTTAGCTTAAAAAAAAAAAAAGAAAGATCTAAGCTCTGGATAAGAAGACAGATATACGTTGATTACATATCTGTGTATTCTTTCAAATCCATCTTCAAACTCTCGGGGTATCTTTTGTACACTTGCTTTGTTTAACTTCAGATCGGTATTGTTGATATTTTGAGAATTAAAAACTTGAAGTAGTCAAGATTTTTAACTTAAAATCAAACTTGTTATGTACGGCTTATAAGTGTTACGTACATCGTAAAGTTCACAAAACCATTCATCTTTATTATTCATTGTGTATATCCATGCTCCAGTAAATGTATTTGTGGACTTTTAGACCTAAATTAAATAAAGTTTGTTATGTTAATTATATCAAAGAAGTTTGGTTAGGAGAGAATTGCCAATAGGGAATGTTTGTTTACTCTCGAAAGTATTTTCCTGAGTGTAACTTTTATGTACTTCCAATTATTCAGGGTTGTTCATTTAAATAAAACCGAGGCATTGTCCAAAGGCTTGGGAAATTAGGATTTTCTCAAAAATAGGTGCAAAGGACTGATTTTTTTTAATATAACAGAGTAAATAAGATCTTAGATAAACCTCGTAAAAAAATTAATTTATCATTTCATATCACAGATATTATGATGTGCTATTTCTTATTTTGTTATATAGAATTAGAAGCATGTTCTTATTCATTGTTATGTGTATTCAATTATAAAGCTAAAACAAAGTAAAAAGGAAGCTTAATTTACTTTTTTGCAAAAATTTATGAATACATATGTATACGAGTACAAAGAACCTGGAAAGGGGGGAGGGGTATCGTGTTTTCATTTTAATTATCAATGTATCCTCACCCCAACCCACCCACCCCCACAGATTATTGAAAAGTGAAAAACTGAAGGGGTTGGGGGTTATTATTTCAGAAGAGGCAGCCTTGAATTAAAACAAAATTATATAAACACAACGTGTACTGTATGCATGCATCTTTGGATATTTTAATATGTTTTTTATTCTGTTTTAATTCGAAATAATTAATGGTAAATTCGATGAACAATTCAAAGATAAAATTGCTAGGAAATATAAATAAACACTTAAGAGAGAGAGAGAGAGAGAGAGAGAGAGAGAGAGAGAGAGAGAGAGAGAGATGTACTTACCCCGTCTCTAGCTGTTTCAATAGATCCTGTGTAAAATAAAAAGATTAAACGTTTAAATCAAATCTCTGCCACTGGTTCATTGTGGCGAAATCTCGGAGAGTAAACATTCCTCTAGATAGCCTTGCTATGGTCTGTAAATGGTCTTAACTTCTGTATATTTCTTTTAGAGTCCGGTTATTTATATCGAAAGGATTTGACGATTAGCTGTATTAGCAAACTGCATTGTGTAATTAATGACACGTATAGATTAGCAGCCCCTTTCTTTTTTGTTAGAAGGATTACAATCACTTTAAAGACCACGGTGGGATAAAATTAAACGGTAAAACGTCCATATTGAAAGCTAATTAAGCTTATAGACAGCTTATTGAGGTTAATTATTGGATAGACCCAGGGGGGAGGGGTGCAACGACAAGTGCGTAGGGAGGGGGATTCACAAACTGTACAAGTCGACGTTTTTAGATCATAAAAATCGGGTGTAAAATGTAAATATTTGTATTAAAAGTAGCATCGGGAAAATGGGTGTCAAATGTATATCTTATCCGATGATGAACACCGACTGTCTTTCTCTTAGATCCACCACTTTAGATCCACCACTTTCTCCTCACTCTACATCAATAAGTTCTGGCAATGGTTAATGTTCCTAAAGATATATTTTCATGGTCACTATAACGTTTGCATTTCTTTGAAAAATAAAACTCTTTTGCACGTACAATGTAGCTGAAATGCTTGTTGCTTATAGTTTTGCCAACGCATGCAACTATATATAGACCACATTTTCTCAAAAATAGCTTCTATTTATATTTGCAGGGGAGAATGAATAATTTTTCCTCAAAAGGAGAGAAAGAGGGTCAAGCAAACCTAAGGAAAAAGAATATTATGTACAAAGAGTGTATCTTGGGTCAAGTCATTGGTCCTTTTTTGCCAAGTGGCGGGAAGGGGGGGGGGCTTTCACAATTGATTGTTTTTATTTAAACAATTTTACAATAAAGCTATTTTAAGGACCACAGCTTATGAAATTAATGTTTATAATGACTTATTTTTGATAATGCTCTTGAATTTCTTTCCCCTGGGTCTAAGGATTATTTGTGAAGAGTCGAGAGGAATCCTTGATCTGCCACTGAAGATTTTAGTGATAAGATTGCTGCTCAAGTATTTAAATTTTTTGAGGAGATAGATCGATGAATTGCATGTTTACTTTTATGCAGTCCTCTAGAAAATAAATTAACACCCAACTTCATTCAAATTGATTCTAAAATCAAGATCGGGATCGAGAATCAAAGCGGAAAAGAAAAGTTGGCGCCAAATCACGTGACAAAATATACGCGGGATTTTGAATTTGGAAGAAAGACATTGTTTACTCGCTGCACAGGCATAAGAAAAAGAGCTCTAAAGATGTACGTCCTTAAAAGAGGTATGATGGCGAATTTCATTCTTTTTTAAACACGAATAAACATCATATTTCCGTAAATAGATATCATGTTTTGAGCATTTTGTCTTTGTGCAAGAAATTGAGATCAACAAAAACACTGTATGGAATTTGAGCACTACTTAAGATTAATAAGAACTTTTTTTCATTATAATTTTTTTTGTTTACATGTTTCATTCTAATGATTTTGAATTGTATATAGGTCCATTCTTGTGATATTTTTTAGACCGAAAAACTGTACAGGAGCATTGCAAATGATTAAATTTAGGCGCAAATACCAGGTCCAGCACAATACCCTGTTAAAGGTATATAGCTTGGTAAAGCTATATAGCTTTATCAAGGTATTACAAATACCTTGATCAAGGTATTTTGTGTAATAAAATACAAAAAAAATCCTAAAAAAATAAATACTGAAAGTCGAGTTCTGTTTTTTGTTTGTTTGTATGTTGTTTAACGTCCCTCTCGAGAATTTTTCACTCATATGGAGACGCCACCACTTGCCGGTGGAGAGCTGCAAATTTTGTCCTAAACTCGGCACTTACGGCCATTGAGCACTGAGGGATCTTTTTCATGCCAGCACCTACTGCGACACGGGACCTCGGTTTATACGGTCTCATCCGAAGGACCGGTCTCCATGTCCCACAGTGGGATTCGAAACCGCGACGTAAGGATCAACTCCTTACGCCGCGACTCTAGAGCAGAAGCTCTAACCACTGCGCCACACAGGCGACAAAGTCGAGTTCTGAGTTGTTGTCAGTAAATTCACTCATGCATGTAAAGTACTCAAACACAAAGAAATCATTATAAAAGCATGTTGTGTGAGGAGACGTTCTTTTATGCTGTCTTTTTGATACCCGAGTACTTTTCAGGCACGAGTGAACACGCTGACCACAACTCATAATTCGACTTTCAAATTTGATTTTTAAGATTTTTTTTTTGTATTTTCATTACATAAAATACCTTGATCAAGGTATTTGTAACAAAGTTATATAGCTTGATAAAGTTATATAGCTTTATCAAGCTATATACTAAGAGTGCAACGATAAACCGTTTGACGGTATATCGTGGTATATTTTCCCACGGTTCAATTCACGATACGCTAAACTGATGTCACGGTTCGGTTCAATCGGTCCAGAAATATCCGAATCGTCTATTTTGTTTCCTTGTTTACAATTTCAAAATGGCTTCCGTGCAAAACATGAGGTCGATGATGACGCAGTAACAGCAATTAAACTCATCTCCAGCATCTTACTGTATAAACAAGTACACAGCCACAGACAATTATGGGTATTAACAGGTGTGGGGGACGCTAATTACAGGGAAACATGGACAATTCATTTTGAAGTTGCATTTTTTTGATAAGTTTTGGATAAAAAATATATACTTTTTCTTTGAAATATGAAAAAAAATATATACATCCAAGTAACCGAGTAGCGATTTTAGTATTCGATACTCGGACGTTAGATCGAGTACCGGGTTAACAGGGTACTCGTTGACATCCCTAATAAATAAGTCATATCTGAACTTCGAATCCAGGCTACCGTAGTTCCATGTAAATGTTTTTCATTGGTTCAGAATATTGTTACAACTCAAAGATCTACCTATCAATCCAAATAAAGTTAACAAATTGATATTTTAATTATAAAAAATATGAACATTTGATATAACCCTGTCGAGTTTTAAAAAAAATATGATGAAAAACTTGAAAGACTTCTTTAACTTGTCATGTATCATGATACTTATCGTATCGTGTACTGAATACCGTGATATGTATCGTATCGTGAGGTTGGTGTATCATTGCACCCCTACTATATACCTTTATCAGGGTATTGTGCTGGACCTGAATACAGCAGGTCCAGTACAATCAGTACATTTAGCTACGTAGCTAAAATTACCTTAATACCTACTGTAGCTTTATTTACCTACCTCAGGTAGCTTTATTTAGCTATTTCAAGGCAAATTTTCACAATTTTCCCTTTTATTTTAAAAAGACAAAAAATCGCAAATAAATGACTACTAATATTTATACAAGGGATTATTTAAAAAGCAATCCAGTGCAGAGATAATTTAAACATTGCTGCGTTTGAACACTTTTAAGGAAAATATATATTTCCATTGTCTGAGTAACTGTACACCACCTTGTGTGCGATGAGGCATGGATAAGTATGATTACTTCTCAGTCATTGTGTTCTTGTTGCTCTTGTTCATTCAAGAAGTAACTGTTTGGTCACAAATTAATTGTTGTATATAGCCCCAAAACTTGTAGAACTTTGATTGAAATTGCGCAGAATAAGAAACATCTCCAAGAGGAAATTTTTCATAAATTGTTTTCAGATGAGCTTAAAGTTGAAAATTATCACTGCATCAAAGTGCAATTTTGTGCACATCCTGAGAAAAATGGTAATTTAAGAAAAAAGTTTAATTCAGTAGCTAAATAAAGCTACTTCAGGTAGGTAAATAAAGCTATGTAGGTAATTCAAGCTAAATCTGGAGTGTACCAGACCTGTACAGTGTACATTGCTCATCAAAAAAATGTACTAAATGTCGACCAAAAATCAATATAAAAGGTTCATTTTATAACTTAATTTCAAATCAACAAATGTACCACAGAATAAAGTGATAATTACTTACTGTAAACAACTGCAGCTTTTAGAATTTCATATTCAGAACAAATCCATGATAAATGTTGAATTTTGTACAAAGACTGTCCTTAGTACCTTGTACCATGTGTAATGGTTTGGGCCGTGGATATCGGCCTGGGTAGCTCAGTCGGTAGAGCACCTGACTAGTGATGCAGGGGACCCGGGTTCGATTCCCGGTCCAGCCATATATTTTCTCATTTCCAGACGTGCCTTCATCTCTAGTCAATCTGCATTTTTTTCACAATACTAAAGCTTCTATCAGACTCTGTTAAACTGTACAAAACTTTTGGCCAAGGAGAGCAAATAAGTTACGCATTAAATATTGTGTTGTCACACAGATCAAGTTGTTCTGATTTTTTTATTTGTATTAAAAGCAGTTCAAGTTTTGATATTTTAAATTTTCAATGTAATTATTACAATTTTTAACACCTTGGATCTCAGTTTTTGATTTATATTAAATAAGAACTATGTCAACAGTTAAATGAAATTTCCTATGTTGTGAGAGTGAGAATTACAGAAAAATGGCAATTTCTGGTAAATTCAAAATACAGGACAAATTTTCATTTCCATTAGATCCATGTGATACGTGAATGGAGTAAAAAAATGACATTTTGTGAACATGCAGCCAATACATATCATGTATTCACGTTGTTCAAAATTCACATTAAATAACATATTAATGTAGATGTATAGATCAAGTGTTGGGAAAATTAGTTTGTTTCATATCTAAAAACTAAGATATTGAATAAATTTGACTACTTTGATAAAACTGCATCAAATAATTTAAGACCCACCAATGAGGGGAAATCATTAATAGGTACTGCATCGTTCATACAGTTCTCCTTTGTAGGAAATACGTTAAGGGGACAAAAACACTGCTTGAGCAGTTTGCAAGAGAAAATGTTGCCTTGCTGGTAGCATTATGGTAATTTGTGTAACAAAGAGAAAATGTTTGGAAACACTTGTTTTCAAACTAAACATTGCTAAAGGTATATTGTTGGTATCTTTACACAGATAACGATATGCATCTGTATTAATTTTTTTGCCATCAAGAAATGTCAAAGATCTTTTATATATATCAAGGGGCCTGTAGGGAGATCACAAGTTTACAAATTTAAACCAAATGTATCACTGTCAGTCCTGTAGTTCTGTAATTATTTTGTACTCTATGATATTTGTTGTGATATTTTTTTTTGCAGATGGAAGGCAGGAGAAGGTCATGTTTGATAAGATCACCTCCAGGATCCAGAAGTTGTGTTATGGCCTCCATCCAGATTTTGTGGACCCTGTATGTTGAAGTATTTTACTCTTAATCAAATGCATTATTTCTTGTTCATCTCTGCATATGCAGAGTTCTCAGCTGTTAGCTTAAAAACAGAATCCAATCCGTAAAAGGCAGAGATTTATGTCCATATTACTTTGCATTTTCTGTTAGTTCTATGGCCCCTATATAAGCCATTCACTAGGTCACAGTTCAGTCTAATCAGTTTTTACTGGTGAGGACAGACATATTCTACTTAGCTATTGTAAAACATCTAGTGATGAAAGTAAATGTGTGCTTCTTCCACTGCAGAAGAGAAAGTTACCAAAGAAACTTGCATCAGTTGCACAGATCAGTGCAGTACAAACAAACACAAATCACATAAACTGCAATAAGATGTAAACAAAGGTAATGTAAGATAACCAACACACACATGTGTTGTCCATTCCAAGCAGGTACTCGTAAACTTCTAGTTATAAATGTTGGTACCAGGTTGTTTCAATTTTGTAGACCACTGAACTTTATAGAATTTGAGCATGCAAGTGGTGATCTTCTATCTGAATAATTGCATGTGCATATGTATGTTTACACTTTACAGGCAGTGATCACGCTAAAGGTGATCAATGGACTCTATCCAGGAGTGACCACTGTGGAACTGGACAATCTGGCGGCAGAGACTGCTGCCACGATGACCACCAAACATCCAGATTATGCAATCCTTGCTGCCAGAATTGCGGTGTCCAACCTCCACAAAGAAACAAAGAAAGTGTTCAGTGGTAGGTGATTGTCTGTACAGTTGCTGAGAGATGAGTTTTGAAATGAAGTTGAAAAAGAAATGATAGGAAATATTTATCATGTTGCAACTCATGTTGTAATATTTTGATACATTTAAGTCTGTGTGTTAATGAGAGTTTAAATGGATACAAATTATTAAATGTTCTTGATTGGTAGAAGTCATGAACAAAACCTGTCCTTGAGTTGACACATGGTAAATCCTAGAATTGTATATATGCATGCATGAGATAATGAGGCAGCATTTGATATCGATATGCTACATGTATTGTTTATGATGTACAAGCTTAATGAGGTAATATTTCAGATGTCATGGATGATCTATACAAGTGGGTCAACCCTAAAACAAACCAACATTCCCCAATGATATCAGAGGCCATCCACACCATCATTATGAAAAATGCTGATGTAAGTTCAACAGAAATTTTACAAAGTTAAAAAATAACAAAAATGAAATTGATGCAGTACACAGAATGAATACATAAGCTTTCAGAATAATGCAGTAAGATGGAGGCTTTTGGAAGGGTAAACCTTATTTAATTTTGCCATTTTAGCGTCTGAACTCGGCGTTGATCTACGATCGAGACTTCAATTATCAGTACTTTGGCTTTAAAACTTTGGAGAGATCATATCTGCTGAGGATCAATGGGAAAGTGGCAGAAAGACCCCAGCATATGTTGATGAGAGTTGCCGTGGGGATTCACCATGACGACATAGACGGTGCTATTGAGGTGAGTGAGGGAAGGGGAGGTGTGTCTCTTTTCACTGAAGAGGCCCCTTTATAAATTTTAATTCAAATTTTTTTTTCAGATTTGAGAGTAAATATGAAGCTGAAAGTAAATCCCATTAAATTTTTCCTTCAACTCTAAAAAGATCTATTCTAAATGAAAAAAATCTACCCATGGACCAAAATGTAGGATCAGGTTAAAAGAATAAAATTTTTTTTAATTTTGGCTCAGTAATAGATTTTATATATATATATATATATAATATATATATATATATATATATATAATATATATATATATATATATATATATATATATATATATATATATATATATATATATATAGATATTTATATATATATTTATATATATATATATTTCACTTTTTGAAGATAGAACTGAAATAAGCAAGCAATCTCTAAAGTCCTCTGCATGTTAATATTTTTTTAGTGAATAGATGTTTGAAAAAGACTTGAATTATCCTCACTTTAAGATTGTTTTTAGAGAATTTTCTATTTAAAGATGCAAATAAAATCTATTAATTTGTAATACACAGGAAAAATTGATAAAATAAACCTATACTATTTTAAACTAAGAATTATACAGCTCACAATTTTAATATTTAATATGATTTTAATATTTTTTATTTTGAAAAGGTGTCTGATTTTCCCCCCAAAATTGCACGAGACCCGATGCCCCATAAGTAAAGACTGGAAAAATCTACTTACATGGAAAATCTATTGTCTTTGAATTTCCTACATTTTGAAAATCTTTATGTTCTTTTTTTACAGACGTATAACCTGCTGTCTGAGAAGTGGTTTACACATGCCTCCCCTACTCTGTTTAATGCAGGAACAAACCGACCACAACTGTCAAGGTATATAACTCCTGCATCCTAAAAAATTACTTCTCTCATGGCCTTTATTATCATGTCTCTTGGGAAAAAAAAAACACACACAAGAAAATATAATCAGCAAATAAAGGTGCATGTGTACTTATATATTTGATATTATTGATTGTATGTCTGACATTTATACTTTAAAAAATTCCAGCTGTTTCTTGTTAACAATGCACTCAGACAGCATAGAGGGAATTTACGATACTCTAAAACAGTGTGCCCTGATTTCCAAATCTGCGGGTGGTATCGGACTCAATGTGCACTGTATCAGGTCTACTGGAAGTTACATAGCTGGGGTATGTGATAGAGCAATGACCTTGGTATAGATTTCCATAAAAATAATATTTAGCAATGCAAAGATATTAAGAATCATTGAATTCTAATGTATGATCATGAAATGGATATGGAAACAAAAATTCTCTCGAAACTTAAAAGATGATGGCATCAGAAATTAATATTATTTGTGTACATACAGGTATGTATGATTAACTTGATATTTTGAACAAATGATTAGTAATAATTGATGTGTGGCAAAGTATACACTAACAACTAAAGAACAAGCATAATTGTGTAGTTTTTCTGACTTCAGATTTATGTATATATAATGTTTATATTTTGAACATGTTTTGAGAGTCCTCATTTTTAAATTGAAAAATTAGGTGACTCATTATTACCTAGGAATATATAAATCATGAGAAATAATTTAATCTTTTAGAGTGTAAAAATAAAGAAGATTTATCTTTGGATGCTTTATATTTTAGACCAATGGGACCTCCAATGGTTTACTACCAATGCTGAGGGTCTATAACAACACAGCAAGATATGTAGACCAAGGTGGAAATAAGGTAAGGTGAGCAGCATTGTAAATCACGGGGGCAGCATTGTAAGCTACTTAAATGTCCAAATAAAATTATAGTGAAATACATAGATGAATATAACCGTTGGTTTAAGATTAAACTTCATTTCATTTCTACCTTGTATGGCTATCTGCACATTGTATTTTGAATCACTTTATTTGAAAAGAAAGGGGAAAAAAAAGTTTAAGGCTTACTAACATTGGATTTTTAATGTTAGCATTGTAGCCCAAAGATCTAATTTTTTCCACAAGCAGGAAATTTTAAATATGTACATGATTACAGAGACCAGGAGCTTTTGCCATCTACCTGGAGCCCTGGCATGCCGACATTTTCATGTTCCTAGACTGTAAGAAGAACACGGGTAAAGAGGAACAGAGGGCGAGGGACTTGTTTTATGCTCTGTGGATCCCGGATCTCTTCATGCAGAGGGTAGAGAAGAATGAGGACTGGACCCTTATGGACCCCCACGAGTGTCCAGGACTTCATGACTGCTGGGGAGATGAGTTTGAAAATTTATACCAGAAGTAAGTTGATAAAGCTGTAGGGGAAAAATATTTTTGGAAACAATGGCTTAAGCTATAAACTTTGCATTATATCTAAGATTGCAAAGCAAACATTCAAGTTTTACACATTTTGTTGTGGTTTTAGCTCTCCTTGCAGTCATGCTGTTAAAGTATTGATACATGTACAGTATATGAAAAAGAAAACTAAATATGAACAGCATATCTTTCTCAAACTAATTTGTGATTTGAAAAGGAAAAAAAAATTACCATTTTGAAAACCTGGGAGTGATATGCCCCTTCATTGTAGTTTCTTACATGTAGTTTATCTTTCACTCGTGTTTTGAAAAAGTTGATATGGTGAATGATCTTTGACAAATGAGATTAAATGAGAATGACAATTAATTAGTAATTTTGCTCCATATCTAACAGATATGAAAAAGAAGGCAAGGGAAGGAAAACTATAAAAGCCCAGCAGCTGTGGTACGCCATCATTGAGGCCCAGACAGAGACTGGTACCCCGTACATGTTGTACAAGGACCATTGTAACAGGAAGTCCAACCAGCAGAACCTGGGGACCATCAAATGTAGCAACCTGTGTACAGAGATTGTGGAGTATAGCAGCCCTGATGAGGTATAATGGATGGAAATAAAGTCTACTTAAGGAATCTCAAGTTATAGGGGGGTGTCACAATTTGAATAGATGAAAAATGATTGTTTACGCTTGTAGAAATCACTGTGCATTATACTAAGCAATGAGCCCTGTTCTTTTAATAGTATGCGAAATTCATGACCTGTGGAGTTAAATGAGTACTGTTCTCTATACCATAATAATGATATTCAAGGATTTGGAGGTCACTTTAGAAAACAAGAGTTTATTCCCAAACTACAGAGTTGCTTATGATACAACCCTGTTGACAGCCATTGCCCTATGGTGTCTTATCTTAAACATTATCAAGTTCAAAGAGGGAAAATACATGTAGATATTAATTTATGCCTGTAAGAGACATCGTGGATGGGGGTTGTGAAATATGGCATTGATGTTTGACAGTGTAATACTATAGTTTTCCTTTGATTTTTCAGGTTGCAGTATGTAACTTGGCATCCATTGCCCTCAACATGTATGTGAAGCCTGATAAAACGTATGACTTTGATAAATTAAAAAGTGTTACCAAAGTGATTGTCAGAAACCTGAACAAAATTATTGATATCAACTACTACCCGGTACCAGAGGTGAGACATTGAGAGCAATTAGGCTCCTAGGACTTAAAAAAAGCATAGGGCTACAGATTTAAAGTTTTAAAGTAAAGTTTATAGGTAATTTGCCCTGTGAACAATTGAATTAGTTGTCATAATTTTAAGAAGTCAGTTGAAGTTTTTATTTTTATTAAAAGGTTCTAAGAGACATCAATAGGCATAAATAAAACATTTTTAGAAACATAGATTTGTGCCAGATTAAAATGTATACAGGGCATTCAAAAAGATTAAATACAGGCAGTACAAAATAGGATGTATCTTATGGAAGGGATTTTAATTAAATATGTTTCTAAATTTTTCTCAAGTGAATATTTTGGCCTGCACAATCCTGATTTCAGTGGATAAATAGGTACTGGGTACTGGCAGATTTTGAAAGGTCTTTGTGTAGAGGAATTGGATGGCATATTTTAACCTCTATCATCCATTATATTCACAATAAACTCATCTTACTTAAACTCTCATTAGAAAAAAAATGCAATAAAAACGACATGCAATCTGATTCCTTGTGAATTCTGACCTTTATTTTCATTCTTTCGAGACTTTTTTCCTTGTTCTTTATGCTGTATAATCTGAAATCTGACAGTATGTCTATTCTAACATAATCCCAGTGAATGTTAAATTAGGCAGGTACATGTATCTCTGTAGCTTACTTTTCAATGGTGAAAACTTGTTGTTCAGACTATGACAATTCACAAGCATATGATAAAAAAATAAGTTCTTTCTTGCAATTAATCTGAGTTGTTTAAACATGTGGAACTTGAATCAAAATTTCAAATGAATTTAACCTAAAATAATTCCAATAAACAAAATTCATATTGTGTTTTATCCAAAAAAAAAAAAAAAAAAAATCATATTGTGTTTTATTAAAAAAAAAATTATATTTGAGAGCATAGGGATGATAAACTTTTAAGTCAAAATTTTGAGTCTTAAAAGAAAAGAAATCTAAATTAACTAAAAATGCACACAATTTCAGCATACCTTGCGCGGCAGAATTTTGGCAGATATGGCATGTTTTCTTGAATGATTTTATGAAGAAATTATACAAGTTAGAGTTATCTCTCTTTTCAAAGGATTGATAACCTTTTAGTCAATTCTTAGTTTATAATTTTTAAGGCAGAATCTTTAGAAATTGATAATTTTTATACAGGCTAAGTATCTGAGTACAAGATCTAGCTGAAAAATACTCTATTTCGATTGTTTTGATGCAGGCTATGTAGTTTGATTGTTTTGATGCAGACTATCTAGTTTGATCGTTTTGATGCAGGCTATCTAGTTTGATTGTATTGATGCAGGCTATCTAGTTTGATTGTATTGATGCAGGCTATCTAGTTTGATTGTTTTGATGCAGGCTATCTAGTTTGATTGTTTTGATGCAGACTATCTAGTTTGATTGTTTTGATGCAGACTATCTAGTTTGATTGTTTTGATGCAGGCTATCTAGATTGATGCAGGCTATCTAGTTTGATTGTATTGATGCAGGCTATCTAATTTGATGCAGGCCATCTAGTTTGATTGTTTTGATGCAGGCTGTCTAGTTTGATTGTTTTGATGCAGGCTATCTAGTTTGATTGTTTTGATGCAGGCTGTCTAGTTTGATTGTTTTGATGCAGGCTATCTAGTTTGATTGTTTTGATGTAGGCTAGGCGGTCCAATATGAGACACCGTCCTATTGGTATCGGAGTACAAGGTCTATCTATAGCTGAATGTCACTCTTAATTTAATTGTTTTGATGTAGGCTAGGCGGTCCAATATGAGACATCGTCCTATTGGTATCGGAGTACAAGGTCTAGCAGATGCCTTTATTCTGATGCGGTTTCCATTCGAAAGTGAGGAAGCCCAACTGTTGAATAAACAAATTTTTGAGACGATTTACTACTCAGCATTGGAGGCCAGTTGTGAGTTGGCGGAACACGATGGGCCGTATGAAACATACCCAGGGAGTCCAGTCAGCAAGGGGGTAAGTCGGGGCAGGGTACCAGTATACAATGTATTTATTAGACTGTCAGAATAATGCTCACAAAAAATTTCATAAATATTATGACAATAAGTTGAGTACATTTATTGCGAATTTTATGGCAGTGTGAAAATGGTATTTGTATTATATTTTTTATTTGTACATGTTCATAAGAATTTCATTCAACATTTGCTGATGAAATTCAGTCAATAAAGCAGATAAGTATGGTAAGTGTAATAAAATAATGTGTTCTTTGTAGATTTTACAGCCAGACATGTGGAATGTCACACCTACCAATCTTCAGGACTGGGATTCACTCCGGCAAAAAATTAAAAAGTGAGTCTGACAGATCTTAACAACATTTATCTGAAAATTTCCAGGGGGCATGCCCCTGACTCTCACAGTATGGTCACTTCTAGCACTAATGTTGATCTGTCATTTTCCCCCTTCATGTGTAAAGGGTATCAAATTGAATAGCTAGATAAATCCCTGTAAACTCCTAATTTTAGAATATTTTTGGACTTTTGTCTGGTATTTGCCACAAAAATCAAACCTCTCGAAAAAAATATTTTGATAAGAGATAAAGTTAGTAGTACAATTCAAACCATACTGAAGTACTAGGGATTTTAGTTCTATAATAACTGGAAAAATATGGAATAACCTGGTGAAGGTAGACCTCAGATCAAAGTCACCAGGATGTGGTCTGATAACAGGTCTGAAAATGTACAGTAAAAGACAGGTTTAATGTCAGCAGTAGCTGATATTTCACCATATCTGTTCACCATATTTTTAATAAGGATTAAATATAAAAATGATTAGGTAAAATTTTGCCTTATTCAGTATAAAAATGTTTTGTTTGATCTCTTCCAATTATAAATATCCATTTGTTACAGACATGGTGTCAGAAATAGTCTGCTATTGGCGCCAATGCCCACGGCTTCTACAGCTCAAATTCTGGGGAATAACGAATCTATAGAGGCCTACACCAGTAACATTTACTCCAGGAGGGTTCTGTCAGGAGAATTCCAGGTAATTAGAGGCCAAAAGTAGTAACATCAGTATAAGGAAGGTACTCCCAGGGGAATTCAGGGGTAAATCAATTAGTAACATTTACACAAGGGTGCTGTCAGGGGAATTCCAGGTAAATGAAATTGAATTGAAACATTTACCTGAGGTATGTTCTGTTATGGGAATTCTCTGTAAAATAAGAAGACGCCTAAAATAGGGAAATTATTCAAAGAATGTTATGGCAAGGGAATTTCAGGTAACTTGTCCTTAATTAAATAGAAAAAAAAGATTCTAGCAAGGAAACTTGAGGTTGGCCCAATGGAGACCTAATAACATTAGACAAGGAGTGTTCTGGCAAGGGAAAATTTTACATTTGTTTTGATATTCTCCTGATTCTTGAGCAATTTCTAACTCTCATTGATTAATATTAGAATAACCCAAAAGTAATTAAGTCTGACTTGCATATACATATATTCATGGCAAGGGAAGAGAAGTCAAACATGTAAAACTTATAGATTCAATATTATCAATTTATCTTGCCAAAAATGTTCCCTTTTCAAAATGGCATGCAAGCAATTAAGTGCCATTTCTGGCATCAGAACTTTTTACCTTTGAAATTCATGCTTAACTTCTGATTAATAATGAAATGTAGATGGTAACACAAACTAATTAAAAAAAAAAGAATGTTCAGGTAAATAGACCAGCAGTTAGTAATGTTAGTGATGTTTGTTTGTGTTAAGGTTGTGAATCAGCATCTGATGAAAGACTTGACGGAGCGAGGTTTGTGGGACGACGACATGAAGAACAAAATCATCGCTTTCTCTGGATCCATACAGGTATGTCTCACACTCTGGGCCCATACAGGTATGTCTCACACTCTGGGCCCATACAGGTACGAGTGTAATTCTGTGTCAGTTGAAATTCAAATAGATAGACGTACTGGCTGAAAGATTTATCATGTAACAGAAAATTTTCATTTTAAATCTCTTCTGTTTTCACTTTGTACATACTCAACACAGGAAAGGATAAACCAGAATTCGAATGTACTGGTCAAAGCTTGTGCAAATTTTTTTTTTATGAATGCCCACTAATCCTCTTTGTCTCAAAGCTTTAAATGGATAGTTTAATAATCAACATATTTAATTATCTGTTGTAGAATATAGAGGAGATTCCAGAAGAAATAAGAAAATTGTACAAGACAGTTTGGGAGATTTCCCAGAAGACTGTGCTCAAGATGGCAGCAGACAGGGGAGCATTTATAGATCAGAGTCAATCCCTCAACATCCACATCGCCGAGCCAAACTACGGCAAACTGACCAGCATGCACTTCTATGCCTGGAAATTAGTAATTATATTTATTGACAATTTTTATCCTTCATATATTTTTGATCTTGAAATATTCCTTTTCCTTTCAGTGATTTCATGCTAGTACAAAAGAAAAAAAATCTTGCCTCTTTTTTGAAAGAATTAAAATTCCAGGTCATTAAAATTAGTTCTGAGGGGGCTCAATCTTTTATGACTTTTATGAGAAACTAAAATCAAGACATTGTATCATTTACAAGTGATAATCAAGGTAAGCATGATGTAAAATTTTAATTTTAGGGATTAAAGACAGGAATGTATTATTTGAGAACGAGACCTGCAGCTTCTGCCATACAGTTCACTGTGGACAAGACGAAGTTAAAGCAGCCGACAGGAAAATCAGCCGCAGAAGACAAAGTAGAGGAAACAACAAAAAACATGGAAGCCATGGTCTGCTCTCTGAAGAACAAAGACGACTGTCTGATGTGTGGCTCTTAGAGTGTGTAAACATTTATATAAAATGCAAAAAACTATACTGCCAAACACAATTGTACTTACTATACTGCCAAAAGCATTCTGTACTATTGACATCCTATATAGAATGTAAAGAACTATACTGCCAAACACAATATGTACTATTGACACTCGTGAGCTTATTTTTATGATGACAATTTGTAATATATGAACAATATATTTAGAGCTGCTATAGTTGAACATGTATACAATAATTTAATGATACTGTCAATCATTTTGATATCTAAGATTGCTATTTATTTATTAAAACTACATGAAATGTAAAATTATTTTTTGGTTCAAGTGAGCGTTTTTGATAAGAATTTGTCCATTGTCATCAATGTTGTTGTCATTATTAACTTTTCACATTTTCATCTTCTCTAGATTCACTGGTTCAATTTTAACCAAACTTCAGAGTTTGTCAACCAAAAAGTAGGTCACCATGGCCTACTTTTAAAATTTTATGCCTATATTTAAATATCTCAGGTATTAATAGGATTAGAATCATCGAACTTTGTCAATTGATGCAACTTGGGTCCTTGGAGAATGTCAACCAAAAAGTAGGTCACTTTGACCTTCTTTTGAAATTTTATGGCTATATGGTCCTAATTGGCTTAGAATCTACAATCTTTGTCGATTGATGCATCTTAGGTCCTCAGAGAATGTGAACCAAAAAGTTGGTCATGGTGACCTACTTTTGAAATTTTATGGCTGTATATAAATATCACAGGTACTTATTGGCTTAGAATCATCAAACTTTGTCAATTGATGCATTTTGGGTCCGTGGAGAATGTCAACCGAAAAGTAGGTCACCTTGACCTACTTTGAAATTTTATGACTATATTTAAAATCTCCGGTCCTAATTGGCTAAGAATCATCAAAGTTTGTCAGTTGATGCATCATGGGTCTTAGGATAATGTAAACTGAAATGTAGGTAACTGTGACCTAATTTTTGAAATTTTATGGCATTATCAAAATATTTTAGGTATTTATTGGCTAAGAATCATCAAACTTCTTCAGTTGATGCATCTTGGGTCCTCAGAATGTGTCGACTAAAAAGTAAGTAACAGTGACCTACTTTAGAAATTTCAAGACAATACTAGTATCTAAATATTTCAAATAATAAGAGTCTTAAAATCATCAAACTTGGTCAGCTGAGTTATTTTCGGTCTCGGAGTATGTTTACCAAAAAGAAGGTCAGTGTGACCTACTTTTGGAATCTCATGACTATATCTGAATATTTAAGATAAGGGGCTTCATCACACTTTTTCAGTTGATTATCCTGGGTTCTCGGAGTATTTAAACCAAAATGTAGGTCATAATGACCTACTTTTGGAATTTCAGGGCTTTATCTAAATATACGGGATACTTAGAGGCTTCAAATAGAAGTGATAGGTTGTACAATTTATGCGATTCAAGGCCCTTGGGCCTCTTGTATGCAATAACTATCATTTCAAATATGATGGAATGGAGATGACTGTAGATATACAATATTGATTGAGATTGAAATATTTTTCGAGTAACCACGTGAACTATACATTTTAAACGGTATCTAGCTCACTTGAGCCAAAGTGGGCATTTCTTATTTAAATTCACACTGTAATGAATTTAATACTCAAGTTGATAAAATAACTGTAGTGGCCACGATAGTTACTTGGGTACGAAGGAGCGTGCATATGTAGAGCCAGTACTAACACACAGTATGACGGCATCTAACTTTCTTTTCTGTTAATTTCATTTGAGTTTTAAAAATCTTAGTCTTATGATTACAAGTATATATATCTAGCTTTTAAGATTAAATTTGACGAAAAAACACTAGCTCGATGGCCTCTGACGGGCCATCGAGCTAGTGTTTTTCCTTGGTGTTTTTTTTTTTTTTTTTTTTTTTTTTTTTTTTGTATTTATCAGTTGAGTGTTTCTGGTCCTCTTGTTTGTTCTTATGCTTATCTTAAGGAGACACAAGCGATACACATAAAAAGATGTATTGCGGACAGTTTAACATAAAAAGAAAGGAAAAGAATCTGGGGGGATAAGACGAGCCATGTGCCCATGCCCATTTTTCGGCTATGCAAGAACATTTATTGGAAAAAATCTCTCAATTGTTCGAATTTACTTAAGCATTTTAATGTTTACCGTAGTTTTCAAAATGATATTTATATTCTAAACAAGCTAATCAGTTGACTTTCATTTACTGTCACAAATGTCTAACATGGGTAAGGACTTCTATTAATTAATCTGCATATTGAGTGTTAACACTTATTGTGGAGATATTACAAAAATGTTAACATCGTGTATAATGATAATGGTGACCTAGAAGCGCTTTTATTTAAAATAAATAAAAACGGGAATAAAAGTATTCAAATATCTATTATAATTTTTATCCGGCATTTCAAATAATTTACTGTAAATAAGTTCATTACTACATGTATATATTTTATTTCCAGTGAAAAATATGTTATTCTATAGACATTTTTTTTATAAAAGTAAAACAAAATTAAAACCAAATAAAAAATAAAAAATAAAAAAGTCAGAGCATGACTCGAACACTTTCCTCAATAAACGTCCCTTTAAAGAGCTCCTCACTAACCACTAGACCACGGAGTCACACTTACATGTCTATTTAAATAGCATACAGTTCTCTATATTTAGCAAGCGTTTTTGGACTTAGAATTTTTTAAGACCACGGTGAAAATTTAAGTAAGTTAACTTAATTTTTTATGTAGAGTGGGTCTTCATACCAAATTTTTGCAAGTGTAAAAAGCAACATCTTTCCATTGCCTTTCATTAATCGTTCTCAAAAAAATGGTACTATGACCCACTCTATTTAAAAAATGTAGTTATATCATCCAATTTATGTCAGTTTCTGTAAAAATTGAGCGTGATGCCATTTTGTTGTGTTAATCAGATTACAGTATTCAGGTTTTGTCAAATTTGTATGCAAATGGTAATAAGCATTACATTAATTCAACAAAAAGTGACATTTTTGTAAAATGAATTTATTGATTTTTTATCGATCGTTATGTAGGCATATGGCTCGGCTTATCCCCCCAGTTTCTTTAACTACTTTTCCGGAGGATTAATGTATTAGATAAAATAAATGGGATATATTTTTTAAGTACCGTTTATAGAACAAGGAATATATTTAATTTTTTTTTTATGTGGAAATTTTTATTTAAAGACTTGTCAGGGGAAGCGAGAAATCTGGTTTGTTCAGATAAAGGCACTGGCTCAAGTAAGCTTTTCTGGTCGAAGAGTGTCCGGCCTCCGTCTGTCTGTTGTGTGTCGTCTGTAAACTTTCACATTTTTGACTTCTTGGAACCACCGGGTCAATTTCTACCAAACTTGCTCACAAGCATCCTTTGTGAGGATGAGGACTCTGTTGAAAGTCAGCTCAAATTAGATAGAAAGATAACGGTTATCATGCTCAAAAATCCATTTAAATAATACAAGTCAGGAGAAGAGCAAACGTGGATCTCAGAAAACAGGTGGGATCAGGTGCCATGGGGGAGTAAGCATCCTTGTCATGATCAGGCAAACTGAAAAGTGCGTAGAAATTCAGCATGCAAATAATGGTCCAACAGTTGATATGAAAAACGTCTGTCAACATTTGACTTATTTTTTTGTTGACAATGTCATTGTATCGACCATGGAACTTGCGAAATGATGAATGTAAATGAGACTCTTTAAGTTCTCGTTTCATCAACTTCTTTGTCAATATCTTACCTCGTTTTAGAAATTGTTCGTGCGTAGATTGATTGATTGTATGTTGTTTGAAGTCCCTTTCGAGGATTTTTCACTCATATAGAGACGTCACCATATACCGTTGAATGGCTTCAAATTTAGACCTTTACTCGGCACTTAGGGCCATTGAGAAGTGAGGGTTCTTTATCGTGCCAACGCCTCGGTTTTTAAGGTCTCATCCGAAGGACCCACAACTATCACCTCAAAGTGCCGAGCGTTTGGCGAAGGAACAGTTGATACCTATTTTTTATCGACTTAAGTCAGTCGCGGCCGTGATTCGAACACACGACCTTCCGATCACAGAGCGAGCGCTCTACCGACTGAGCTACCGTGACGGTGTTCGTTCGTAGATACGGGAGACATAAACCCCATATGCAGGTGATAAAAGGTATGTTCTTACATAAGTAAGGGAATTGGATGACATAAAATGTGGAAGTCATCACGTTTATCATAATTTTCTTTTGTTAGATTACCATTAATAAGTGATTGAAAAGCTTGATTGATTAAAGCAATTTTCATTTCAATATTTTCACAAATTTGAATAAAAATTGACGTAATTAAGCATTTATAGCTAGCAAACAATGTGAGTAAATTTTACCTCGAATTTACAGAAAGACGTAAATGGGTATTCCAATTACTTTGATTGGCAAAATTTAATATTCTGCCATTCCAATGAATAAAGCCTTGCATTTCTGCTTTTAATATAGATGGTTTGAGTATAATAAATAGTATTCATGTAAATGATGATATTTCTTTTAAATTTCAGCATTGACCTGAATAAGATTCCTTTTAAAACTATTAAAATGAAATATGGAGAACAGTATTCAAGCTCAAAAGCCTTTTCAAACAATACAAATCAAACACGCACCTCTTAAACATCAGAGGTAGGATCAGGTGCCATGGAGATGTGAGCATCCCCTGCCGACCGGTCACACACGCCGTGTGCTCCTTGTCATGATAGGAAAAAAGCGGAAATATCCGTAAACAATTCAATGTGTAAAAACGATCTAATAATAAGTATTAAAAGTGTCAGTCAACATTCGACCTAATGGTAGATTTTATTTACTGACAAGGTCACTGTATCGACCCTAGAACTTGCAAAATGAAGATTGTAAACGAGACTGTTGATATTCTTGTTTCATTGACTTGTTTGTGAATAGCTTATAGCAACGATTTAGAAATTGTTCTTGTTTAGAGAATGCTCTAACCGAATCAACTGGGACTCGTCTGGGAGGCATAAACTCCATATGCAGATGATAAGGGTATATTGCTAAACAATTAAGTAAGGAAAGTTGACGATAGAAAAATTGAGGTCATCACGTTTATCATAAAGTTTTGTTATAAGATATAACCATTAACGTTTTTTCCTAGTACAATATCCAAATCTTTAACAGATCAATTTGCACTCAAATAAATTTAAATTTATGAATGAAAAATAATTATCTTAATCAAAATTTGGCTTCCATAGACCAATGATGTGTGTTAATTTGGTTTTAATACACTGCATATGGGTTTAAATGAACAATATAAGATAAAAATGGAAACA